CTTGAAGTTCTACAGAAGGCCTGATAATGAACTAATCATTTGATTCAGGTGTGTTTACCCAGGGTGAGATCTAAAACCTGCAGGACACCGGCCCTCAAGGCCTGGAGTTCGAGACCCTTGCCTTAGAGTAACCAATTTTTTCACAAATGCTTGTAGAAGCAGCCTGTATGCTTAGGTGCTTGACTTTACACTGTGGCCATGGAAGTGATTGGAACACTTATATTCAATAATTTGGATGGTTGAGTGAATACTTTTGGCAATATAGTGCATATGCTTGTGTTAGGCTGAAAAAGACATTAGGAGTGTTTCTGATGAGTTTTTCAATAGTATATGCAACACAGAGCCAAATTTAAATTTATTTTCAGACTGCGGGAGTATGTCTGCTAGCTTCAGAACGGATAGACAAGGTGATCTTCAGCATGGAGGTTAATGGGGACTCTTGCAGTTGTCTGTCTGGCTCCTACTTCTTTCCAGTCACATATTTCCTATCCTTTTCAGTCTATTAAGTAGAATGCTTATTCAGCCTCTGGACAGACATCTGGTAAATATAAGGATTACCAGATACCAGGTAGCACAGATTTAACAAGAATATGGCTGTATGAGATTGGAAGAAAAAGGAGAGACAAGAAAAGCAAAATCAGGAGTTTGAAGTGTGTTGATTCTATCTGTGAGGGTACATGTAATGCCTAAGACCACTGTAAGCCCACTGCACTTACATGGAAAATTGGATAAGATGTGAAAGCAAAAAAGAAATGTGTCCGTGTCTCTTTGTGTTTCTGATATCCACTCATCTCCCCAACACAGCCAACACAGAGCTCCTACCTGAAGAGAGCAAAATGAATCAGGTCTCTTCTGACCCCTTTTGCAATATTTTTCAGTGTTTCATCAGCACACATAAAAGTGCATAGCGTTTAGTCCTTTTTAGTGCATGAGTTTATGAACATAATATCATGGTTTATGAGGTGGTTATAAATCATTTTGGATGGGCTGTTGTCTTTACAGACTGGTTTATTATGTGGTTATGGTGTTTAGATCGTAAGATTTAACTCAGGCACTGAAAATGGACACAATGGACGCACCTTTTTTTCACAACATAAAAACATTACAAAATCAGGATATTAAGAAAAAAAGTTCACTCATGAACATCCAGTCCTGTATTACACCACTATACAAGTCCTGGACATCCGTCCAGATAAAGTCGCTCCAGATTTTCAATATGAAACTGCAAAGGGCTTAATGAAGGAGGAGGAATTAGCATTCATTATCTGAACGCTGAGGCATGAGGGTGTACGCGACGATGCACAGAACTGTTACACCACACCATACCACTGGGAAGGGGGGTTCAGCATAATATTAAGGTTCATCAAATACAGATACTTCACAATGAGGAAGCACCGACAGGTGGAAAATGAGCAGCTACAGGTAGTATAGTTTGACACCGTTTGTTTTACTGTAATTACACATGATAAATTCTTGCAGACCTGCAGCTAGTACCATGGTTGCTAAGTTTAATTCCTCCTTTAATGCTAACAGATCTGCTGTTAACATTCTTGTATTTTCTCAAAAAGTGGTACAAAAGATTTGCACAAAAGTATGCATTTCATTCCTGCTCTCAGCTGTCAAGTTTTTAAGATTAATTTGTAATTAGCTGTTTAAACTAGTCAAGTAACCTTCACATTTACTATCTAAATTAAACTAGATAATTAACTTGCCAACTTCGTTAGCTCTTTTAAACTCCTGTCTTGGGTTGGAACATTTCAGGTTTTAAAAGGAGAATATTTATGGGCACTGAATGTGCACTTTATGAAAACCTACAAGCTACATGTCCCAGAAAAAGGCTGGGTGTGTAAAATCTTTAGCATCATTGTAATACAGGTATTCCTACTATTCTCACCATGATAATAATGAATGTGTAATTTGTTACATTTTATTTTTAATGCTTCTGCAGGTGCAACGCTTTATTACTATGACATACTCCAACAGAGTTCAGGTTCATAAACCTGGTTCATAAACCTGAACTCTTACGCCTTCAAGGACAGCTTGTTCAGTGTTTCTTTTTATTGTTTTAGGCAATGCTCAGATACAGTATATACCAAGCTATCTTCTGTAATACAGCGGACAAATGGAAGGTCATCCATTCGCACTACTTATCAACATGTAAAGAAATCCAAAGCCTGACTAACCCAGTCACAGCTGATAAACTGCAATTGAGCAATTATTCTGGGGGGAGGAATTCAACCAGCAGACGCTTCAATGTGAAATGCACAAATGACTGTATGAAAACACAGCTTCAGGACAAAAGGTGGCAAACTATGAGGTACAAACTGTAGCATGTAGGTACATTGCCTACTTTAGCAGCATTAGAGGGGCTTTACACCACAAGGTTTATGTTGTTTTAGCACGTCTTACTTTGACTTTCTTTGTAAACCAGGGATGCTCTGCGAACTAGAGATGGCTCAGTGTTGTGCCTCGGTGGAGGGGGAGGGGGGACCTGTTGTGGGCGAACACCAGCCATGGTAGTTAGAAGGGCAACAGGGGTATTTAGGGTTCTGTTTAAAGCACCGTTTTATGATAACATTATGTAGGCAACTGGACCGAGGGGTTGCGATGAACTGGCCGACCTCCTTCATCATTAAAAAGGTGAGACACTCAATAGAGCCTGTCCTTAAGTGACAAAGTCAATTGGCCATATGAAGTTAAAGGTGAATTTCAACTTCCACGGTACTTTGGGTGTCCACCCGTGAGGAGATACCCTCGCGAAATGCCATTTTGTTTGCAATTAAATCACTCATGTAGGATATGTGAAAATCACTGTCACTCTGTCACACGCTGTAGAAGGGAGGTTATTAAAGTAATTATGAAACGATTATATCATTACTCATGCAGTAATTGTCTCCTAAACACAGTTTATGTGCTCCAAACACAGGCAGTGCATCACAGTGATCTCAAAACATAAAACGGATAAACACACAAACAAGAAGGAACAAGTGGACACACACACACACACAGAAACAAGTTATGGCCACATCCACACACAGAGAGGCATGCTGCCACACACGTAGGCTCTCTGATACGTGAGTGTATGAACGTGCACATCCGCTCGCACAGACTAGCACAAACCCCTCTCATCTCCATAATTACTGTATAGTCAGCATGTCCGTGTCTGGGGGTGACTCTCAAAGTGAGATGTTGACAATAGCAGAGCCGAATTCAAGCTGGGGCCTGTCAAAGACCTGACGCTGATAGCATTATCCGTGTAATTATTCGCAGTTAAGTGAACGGCCTACTTACTTTTAACATAATGGAATTGGAGGATTGAGCTGTACCGGTGCTGTCCTTTCACATCATAACTCGCGTGACGTCATTAACCAGGAGGAAATACGCGCGCCGATTTGACTTAATTATTTTAAACACGGGCCGTCTATTACTCGTGGCTGCTCTCTCGCTTCTTTTAACGTTCCGGGCATAATCTCAAAGCACACCTGAGCTCCCTCTGAAGCACATTAGCATGCTACGGCGCAACTGTTGTTAAGAGCCGCAGACTTCTAATATATGGCTTGCTCTTTTGCGAGCGCCTGCCATTTTTCTTCTCCTCCATAAAGTAGTTGCTTGGCATGCGCGAACGTGGAGTCAGCCAGCGCTTCTGAAAATCTTGATCAAGATGCAGAGCAAATGAGGAGTGAAGTAAAAGGCCGCTGCTCTGGCAATGGGAAACTGCAACATGTTTCCCTCTGTGTGTGTGTGTGTCTTCACAGCATGGGGAATATGAGAGATGTCAGACTAGCCTCTGTTCCTCCTCTGGCGGTGTAAATTAGATGTGAAACCAGCATACCATCGATGCCAGGGGAAAGTACACCTATCAAGGTTGGCTAACTCATCATGGCTCCACGCACTAAAGCGCAGCAGATGAGTGGAATGCAGGCGTGTACGCGTGTGTTTAAATCTTAATGAAAGTAGCCCTCTGAAGGTCAGCGCGGAGCAAGCGGGGGACTCTTTCGTCTGCTGCTAATGATGTATTAATGATTCACGGAGGCGTCTTTGTCTCATGTGCATAGGTGCCCACCCAGGCACCCCCCATGGACACATACCTCGTGGCCTGTGCAGGCACACACACACATAGACACACACTTAAAAGAACATTTCCATACAGCACAAAGAAAATTAAACGGACACATTAGCCGGTTCGACACAAGCACAGACGAAACCATTTGTGCGTATGGACAGATGCTGTTGTTGTTTCTTTGTCTTTTATTTTCCCTTTCCTGTAATTAATTGTGGTGAGATAGTTTGGTAAGGAGTGACAAACAGTTTCACAGGTATTAAAACTGCAGCATTCGGATTTCATTAATCCGCTCTGATTGATTACCCCTCTGCTAAAAGCTCATGCGATCAACTCATTTGATAGGCTCTTAATAAGGCACCGAGCACAAGTGAAAATAAATGAGGTTCAGGCCAATTACATCAGGTACAAAAGTAATTTACAGTATGAAAGATGGAACAGAATGTGCCTCTAAAGAAATATTTATAAGGCAGTTAATGCTCAGTTCTTCGGGACTGTGATAATAAGTGTAACAATGAATTAATCAAGCGGCAATGAAAACACTGTATACAGTATTCACATTGCATTTAGATTTCCTTGTTAGCGCAAACAATGTTTTCACATTTCTAAGACAGCAATTTGCCATGAAAAAAGGAAACCATAATGAATACAGCTGCTTTCAAATCTACCTCATGTTTGTAAATGAGTGGGAGCTTTGCTCGGAATTTTTATGCCTATAATTGGCTGAAAGCTGCATTTACGAATAAATACAATGTCGCCACCACAGCGCTGATAATATTTAGTCATTGTTGACCACTTCCTTTGAAGCTAGTTATTGCGTCCCAGAAATGGCACGGAATGGGGGGTGTGGGGCGTTGGGGGTTTAAGTATTGTATAGGATAGGAGGTGGAGGTGCACGGGTGCAGTGGGTTCCCATCCTGCCTCGGGGCAATGATCTTACCTTGAATGTGGACATGGCTGGGTCCCTGCTATACCTGTCTATGGTGTGGAACTTGGACGAGTGGTTGAGCTCATGGTACAGCTCAGAATGTCTTTTGCGAGTGTGCATCACTTTCTGGAAGGGAAGAAAGGAAGGGACAGCAGAAATGAAGCAAATAGAAACAAACCAAAAACAAAACAAAAAGAATGAAGGGAGGGAGAGCCGTGTAGGGACAGGCAGGGGGAATGAAAATGGGTAAAATGCTGAGGGACTGCAGTGATGCCAGCCATGAGAAGGGGGTTAGAGCGAGACACTGTCGATCGATTGCTGGCTCATGCTCATCCATTATCCACTTCCTCTGTCTTTAAGAATTTGGCAACTGTGAGTGCTGCAGAAGCGAGTCCTTTACATGAATATCTGGTGAAAATGAGTGACAAAAATGCCATTGTCACAGCCTGGTTCTTGCTAACTGGTGATCCTGTTAAATCAGGATTTCTTTTTTGTCAAACTCATTAAAAATCTAACAGATGGGCTAGAATTTAACTCTTACCCTCACTGAAATTATATTTGTCAAAAAACTGCCATCCCTGTGTTCCGAATGTGGCTGTCCCGAAGGGAGTTAAACCCGGATCTGTAATTCTCTGACAGCGAACTGCATTTGTCAGTGCCACTGCTGTCTCTCCGTGCTAATGGGCAGTGCTGGAGCTGCTCGGCGGTAGCTAATCGTCAAAGCAGCTTGTGAGGTTGAAAGTGACACAGGGGCAGGATGCCAGCACTCACACCCGCACACTTACTGGCCAGTTGGCGCTTAGCACTGGCTCCAATTACTTCAGAGTGGGTACTCTCATCTCTGCTCAGTTAGAAGGTGCTACTATCTCCTTGACTGACTACAGTTTTAGGTTTTCAAGAATCTCAAATGTAACATACAAAATAAAGATCAACCAACACCGGTGCATTATAGAAAAGGTTGGAAGTAAGGTTGCACAAACAGAGCTTAAGGGCAATTTTAAGCTAAGTTCTTCAATGGACCTAGGCTCGTCCAGCTAGGCCAGTTTGTCATTCTGCAAGATAAGCTACCATCTTGCTATGACTATACATACATTTAGGCTTAGTTAGGACCAGGGTTTATTCAAAATCTGCATTATACTGGTACAGTTACAGTTGGTACCTGCTAGACAGTAGCCCCTGCCTTCACACGACTTTTCCAAGTCCATTCTAAAGACTGGAGCCAACTTAGCACTAAAGACCAGGCTTAGTAAATACCAGTTGGAGCAACTGGTCCCACCACTTTATAGTGTCCGAAATAAAAGAGGGGATATACCAAATTGATCGCAATGTTTTCTTATTGAATGCTCTTTCTTTCAAGATATCCAGCTTGAAGTCAAATACTAAAGAGTATAAACTTAAGAGTATAAGGTATTACTTTTCCTGAAACACATAATTAGATTTCTAATTTGTTTAAGTATTCAGTATATTCGTAAAAAAGAAGTTCGCTTTTGACAGTCTAAAGGGATGAGCCAACTCTATCAATGGAGAAAAAAAAGCATGGTTGAAAATGGATTTACCTTTCATTAACTCATAGAAGTGTACACTTTGCTGTTTTAGAGGTTCTTCTATGTCTCTTTCTCAAAAATCAATAGTCAGTTGGTGTGAAAAGGGTTGCTTTCAAGGAGAGCCAGTTTCCTTGTTCATGCAGAAGCCACAGATGACTCCAGATAAATAGGCCAGATAAGTAAAATGATCAGCTGTAATCAGTGTTAGTAGCTTGTCCTCACTCATACCCTTTACGTTTAAATGTTATGTGTCCATGGCGGGAGGTGAATGTCCAGTCTCTGCATTGGCCAATACTCAAAGGAGTTCACAGGGAGGGCAGCAGTGTTACGAGATGGCTTGTATTTTATTGCATAGAGACTGGCGATTCACGGGACACTCGAGTCATTTTTAACACAAACATACTCACAGACACTGCCAAACCATCTCGTTCCAACAGATATAACCAGCAAACCAACTGCGGCCACATACGGTACGTGTCAACCCAGGACGGAATTACTAGTTTTTATCCAGACACAAGAAGCATTTTACTTTTGCTGTTTCTTCAACCAGGACCCCAAAAAAAGACATGACAAACTCATTGGATTTAACTGTGCATGTCGTTTGGAAGGTTTGGTTTCCAGATTCAAATAACACATCCGCTTGTTCATAAAGACAGACTGTAGGTAGGGACAGCTTGACTGGCCAATGTTGGAGAAACAGCATACTATTTAAGATAAGTCTGAAACAGGTCACTGATCTGAGAGCAAGGGAGACACAGGAGCAAGGGAAGGGGTTTAGCAATGCGTTGTTTTTTTTTACTCCTCTAGGTGTTACTCAAGTCCTGGCAGAAGCACAAGAAAGCAGAGACAGGCTGATGACAGGGGGGATGAGGTCCGGGATCTTACCTCGAAGTCCAGTTCAGAGTACCGTACTCTTTTCCTCTGGAAGAGGAGGGGGGCAGGGGGAGAGAAGAAAGCATCAATGACCACCCCTCGACCACCACAGAATGCTCTTGATCTCAGTGTCTTTGTGGATCTTTCAGTGCCATTGTTCAGTAACAAAAGGACGGCTAATATTCACCGGCTGCCCAACATGATACAGACATTTATTTACAAATGTCATGGGAAAAAAAGGCAAATTGTTCAGCCTATTTCAACGTAATGAGATTAGTGGAGTGGAATAACCCAGAATTACAATGAAATATAATTTCTTGGCTCACATACCCTCAAATACAATCGCCACAGCCTTGGTGTAAATCGTCTTCTCTGCTATTTTTGGAGAATTTGTTGAAGACATCCAGATTAAAAAAGCTGCCACAAACATGTGGGGGATGTGTTTCATCCTCTAATCTTGTTTGGACCCCACCGCTCTCATCTTAAGTGCTTCTTTAGCTATAGTGAGTGGCACACAAGCCGCCAATTTAACAGCTGCAGACATTTCCAACTCATCTGGCCCCGACATTGCACTGAATTACATTCCATCTCTGACTTCCTCTCTGGCTCTCACTGTCTGCCAGATTTGCATTTGGCAGGGAGAGGAGCTGCTCTCTACAGTTAGTTAAAAGCAGTATTCATTCTTTGATAGGGCAGAGTTGCTGATCTGATGCTACGGCGGCCAAGGTTTTTAAAACGGAGAGAAATGCAAACAGATAGAGAGGCAAGTTTCTCCCGGGATGTCCTATTGCCTTTGAGAATTCAACCATTCCCTCTTTTATTATCGCGGAATCCTTACCTTAAACAGAGATATTCCATGATTGAATTAGCTTTGCAATATGGCAGGCATGCAACATGCATATACGTGTGCAGTATATTGCATGTTTTGATGGAAACACACAGAAAGCAACAGCTAACTCACTCATACAAAAATCATATGGGATTCTGTCCTTCTACACTTTGCTGTTCAGATGGCACGGTGGTGCTGCGGTGTTGTTCGTTTGAACTTGCTGGTTTCGATAGCACGATTATTGGATAGTATGCTTAGTGAGTCATTTTCACACTCTGATATACATCACTTGGAGTTTAAACATACAAGCTTCTGAATCAACAGTACATTTGACACCCTAAGTACTTTTTCACAATCTTTCCACGACACGTCTTCCTGTTGCAATTGGAAAGTAAAACACGGATTTAATCCTCAGAGGCACTCTCTGACATCCATCTCCGAATCAAACATATCCTAACAGGGTGAAATTGTAGCAGTAAATTACATCCGGTTTCTCTTCAGTTTTTTTTTTCTTCTTTTTTCCATATTCATGAGTGGACTCGTTACTCATCTGACAGTGATTTTTTATGAGTCTTAATGACTCGTCCTTAAAGTCCTTTGCCCCGAGTGAAGTATTTTTACTTTTAGAGTGAAAATGTTGCATCCAATGTCTTTAATCAACCTTCAGCAGTCAGCAAGATGCCATTAAGGGAAGATCTAAAGTGTGTATTTGTGCATGTGACTATGTAAAGTATGTCAGTGAGTGTTTGCAAAAATTAAGGTGGGCTGAAAGACATTCACCAGGGAATTTTTTTTACTCTGATCCTGTCAGTCTTGGTCCATCTGCTGCAAAGCCCTGTACCATTAGGAAGTGGAGGGGGGTATCACACACATATTAAAATCACTCATACAGAGACACTAAACTATGAAGCTGTCTGTCATTATGAGAATAACTTATTTCAATGGTCATCCTCTCAAAGAGCAGCTATAAATACTACTCATCTGAAAATAGCAGCTGTTATAGCAGACTTATACTTAGGCACACAACTGTGTTATTATCACAGTGTACTGTTACTCTAGAAGATAGACAGCATGTATTAGAAACTCACGAAATTTGAACTAACACGTTTGAAGGCCGCACTTACGGAACTATGAGGCATGTGAATAGACATTTTTCTTCTTTACACGTGTTTGGTATTGATAGATTGATGATAACAGTTAGTTTAGAAATGAAGACCATCTAGTTGTTCCTAAAGTTAAGTGAAATGTCAGATAGATCAAGATGTCTTACTTTTCCTGGTGTAAATGAACTTGTTTTGAGAGGACGGTCGATGCAATGAGTGGATCTGAATTTTTCTTTTTAAAAAAAAAAGATTCCACAGGCATTAATGACTGTGAATCCTTCCACTCCTCGTTATCAACCCACTTATAACTTTACTTACATTATCACAACCTGAATAGCTATCACTGTAAAATTCAGGGAGACAGTGGAAAAAAACTCAACCAGCGTTGCCTTTATTCCCTTTGTCCTCAACCTATCACCCACCTCCAGGGATCCTGCTGAGAGGCTGGTGTTGGCATTGGTGCTGCCCAGGTTGCGTGGCAGGGTCCTGGTTCTCTCCACTGTTGTTCCCCCTGTCAGAATCTGTCTGACTGAAGGTCTCTGGCCCGGCTTTAGCTGCAAAGAATTCCCATGGGAATGCATATGTCCTCCATGGGAGTGCACAAGACCACCCTGAGGCATCAAGTGGCCCTGCCCATGGGGCAATGTTTTGATCGTCCCAAAGGAGCGGTTGAGGTTCATGGTGATGTTCATGTCACCCACACTGGATGGCACAAAATCTGCCGGATAGGCCTCACTCTCTGCCGGGTGAAGGGTCAGAGGAGAGGGAGGTGGCGGGAAGGGAGGATCCTCCACTGCAATGTTGAGAGGCTTGTCCTCACCCCCCAGTCCCAGGCCTCCTCCTTGGGAGGAGGGTGTTGCAGGTTTGAAAGTGACTGTCCTGCGAGGTAAGACCATGTAGTCCCCCTCTCCTCCACCACCCCCCTCTCCTCCGTCTCCCCCACCCCCTCCGCTTCCAGCACTTCCGTCCTGGGAGGTGTTGGATGAAGCCGGAGGTCGAGCCCAGCCCAGGCCACTCTCGGTGCACAGGTAGATCGGAGCGCCGCCGCGTTGCTGTCCCTGTTGTCTCTGCTGGTCCACATTCACTTCCTTCTTTAGGGGGGTCTCACTCAGCTCATTGAGGCCTCCCAGAGGTGGAACCTTGCAGATAAAAAAACAAACAAAAAAACCCCAATAAAATTGTTTTTTTGCAAGCAGAATTTTTTTCGATAAACTATATTCTTTTTTATTTCTTTAGCAATCCCGCTTAACTTCATACAATGAGACACATTCCATCTCTTTTTGTCGTGTTCAACTTCAAAATTGTGTTCAAAATTTAATGTTAATATAATGTCCAGCAGGAAGTTGAAAAATGAATGAGCTAATCTGTTTGGAAGTTTAGAAACTTTAATTGTGTACCTGTACAATAAGGTTAGGAGGGGGGATGTTCCCTGGGAGAGTGCTGAAGTTGACCCCTACTCCGCCCTCCTGATGGGCTGCCAGCTTAGGATCGTCCTCATCATCCAGGGAGATGCGGGAAAGGGTCCCAGTGATAGTGGCTGGGTTACAGGTGTTCACCTCTTTGAAAATGACTGCAGTGAGACGAGGGAGGCATAAGGATTTGGAAAGAGACAGCAAAGAGAATGGAAGATAGGCAAGAGATACGCGAGAAGGAATTTGGATAGTTGGTGAAAGGAGAAATATAGTGAAGGTGAAAAGTTTACAGGTGGGTGTGAATAGAGAAGGTGGGCGGGGGGGGGGGGGGGGGGGGGGGGGGGCAATTGGGTTGAGGAATAGATATTGAACGGAAGAGAATAAATATATTTAATTCCAAAGAGAACACAACTGACAAGAGGTGTGCAACGCAGAGACAGACAGCATAAATTAAATTAAACTGATACTGAAATATACTTGCAGCTATAAAACAGCCTCAAGATACAATGCATCTCTAAAGAAAAATGTGATTTTCTCATGTTGTGCTTGGTATACAGTGACTGACTTTTTGTTTCTGACACTGTGACCTTAAATCTCAGAGTAATGTCCTTGGTGAAAAATGCTATGTAAAACCCAGTGCTTTTCTCTTGCCTGCTTTCACATACTGACGTACATCTATATGCACTAGAGGAAGTGTTTTGAGCATTAACGTATGCGTGTGTTTCACAATACTGTTAATAGCACAACACAAAACCTGCTTGCAGTGGCTGTGAATTAGTTTTCATGCTCATTAATCATAAGAGAAGCTCAGACACTCCACACTTCTAGAAGAGTTACTGCATAACTAATCCGGACATGCTTATGAAAGACAATCTTCTGTCACAGCTATCATCAATCACACACACACACATATATCAAACCATCTGGAAATTCATGCCAGATATCATGCTCATTCTGTCACCATCAGAGGAGTAGATATTTACATGGCCCCAAATCCCAATTTTTAGACCAAAGTAGGAGCTCAGACTGTTTTCATACAAGCTGTATTGATTTAACAGAATGTCAGGCTAGACATTTGATCAAAAATTGAAGCCGGATCCTGCTGAGGGTGAATGCAGCAAAAGCACACTGGCTTACTACAACTGTCATTTCCTCTGTTCCATCATCCCGTTGGTGCAAACTGACAGGTTGGATTGGAACAGGTTTTGGAGAAATCTGACCAATCTGCTCCCATCACGTCTGCAACAAACAGTGGATGGCTCAGAGAAAGACCTATAGACGAATCCAGTGTTGTTTTTGTGTGTGTTGTGTTCTAAAGTACCGGTGCTGTTTTTTTGCTGATGCAGAGTGGAAGTGAAGACATTTACACTGACAATGAAAGCAAGGATATTTAAATTAATCACTGTCAGGGGGGCAGTGAAAGTAGTCGCTATGAATGTGGAAGTTAGTCTCAAAGGACCAGAGGATCAGAAATTAATTACTACATAGCCTTAGGGGGAAAAAAAGAACACAAATGTCTTGTGTGTGGAATACGTGTTATATACAACAGATTAACTGGTTTAAACCTAGCAGAAAGATTCCAGGTAAAGCCTGAGATCGATGTAATGACGTTACCTACTGGTGAAGCTTTAAGTAGGCGCTTTCAACCAGCGCTTTCTTGTTGTTATGAAAACCAGATGTAACAACCGAGGGGTTGATCTGACCGTGAAACCGAGGAAAGCAGCATGCTCGCTGGCCAAAAAGATGTGACTGGTGATGAGAATATAGTCAGTACTTCTCTTTTTTCACTTGAATGGTGATGATTTTAATTTTGTAACTCATAATAATGTATAATTTTACAACTTAACCTACCAATTTAGCCCATAAAGTTGTCATAAAAACGGTCACAAAGCCAGGAGCTAGTTTTATGGAAGTCTATGGGACAATAGCGATAGGAAAGGCAGGTTTAATGTCAACCTTTGCTGACTTGATTTTTGAGACGTGGAAGCTACATTCTACAAGTTCAGGGCCAAGAAGTTCAGTCACTAGTTTCAAGTATTATTCAATACATGAAGTTCATAAAAATGATAAAGCGGCATATGATTTACAATGCAATGGCAGTTCTCTTGTGTTTCAGTGTGTAGCATCCATTGGTTTCTTGGTTAGATCTCGCCCATGCTCATCATGTTTGGCCTCGAAACTCTAAGCTGCTTAGAGTGAAACTTTCAGAAGGCCTTTGCTGACACATACGTCAAGTCAGAATTGAATGGTCTACTTTTAAACTGGGGAACGTCTTACTACGCGAGTACTGAATTTCAGAAAGATAAGAAAGATGAGCTATTTGTACAGGTTTAAAGTTTGGCTAGAAAATATAGGAAGGCACCCACTAGAAATAGATACAGTATGTAGGGTGGTGCCATCATCAGCAAAGACACAATCAGACCCCAAAACTGTTCAATAGATGGAGTAAACGAATATGGCTTTCAGCTGGATTCGTCTATAGGAGCTCTTAGAGTTTACGGACACATCAGGCAGTATTTATTAGGTCAGTAAGGTGCAAAACTTACATGGGTGTCCTCTCTCTGCAAGGGTTTTGGGAGGGAGTGGAGGGGTGGGAGGGTGGAGTGACTCTTTGTTAATATTTCAAAGCACAACACACACTTATACTGTGGTACATCTGTAACACATCCAAACACCCACACAGGAGCATTGTCGACTAACGAGTGAAACAGGTCTGAACACATTGAGGAGTGTTATTATCATGCACAATTAAGCACAGTCTCATCCAAACATATGCTCGCTGAGCACTTATTGGGCAGAATCAGTGTGATTGATAAGGCATAATAATTTGCTGCGCCGAGATGTAGCGCATCATCTCCTGTCATTTCATCAACACATGCGGCAGCAAGCTAAGAATGAAACAGCTTGCAATGCTAATCCTGTGTGGGACAAAGGAACAGCGAAGAGAATGGAGACAAAAGGAGAAGGAGGGAAAGCGAAATCAGGTAGAAGGGAGAGCTCACCTGTTTGACAAGCCAAGTCAACGTCCTTCTCAAAATCCGTCTGACGTAGAAGGCGGGGTAGGCGGCGGGGGAGAGAGGAGGCACAATTAATTTGTGCATTTGTGCAACAGGAAGCACACGTGTCCGAGCGAGCGACTGGATCTCAAATGGATATGATGTATCCAATGACTCTCATGCTCTGATTTAACTCTATAGAAAAGGACCTGATCCCAATCTGCCACTTTATATGAGTCAATTAGTAATCCTCTCCATAAACAGAACAAAACAAAACAAAAAAGATGCACTGAAAATGTTCAGTTTTTCCTTCTTTGCAATGAACTCATCCCAACGCCTTTTCTAACCAAAAAAAGAACAGAGGAAAAAGCTACATTTTGTCTAAGGCCTACACAACCGCTGCTTTTTTCGTGATGTTTATCAGTTCACAGCAGCATATCCAAAACAGACTTTGAGAGAGACGAGCAGAAGGCTGTGAGGTACGTAATGCTTCTGTATGCCTCATCAGTCACCTCGCTATCATCTGAATGGAAACAGGGACAGAAATTTACACAGCAGCTAAACTATTATCTGCTGTTCCAGCTGAAGCAAAACTTTGCAGCTTCCTAGCAAGGATGAGAAAAAATATATATAATGTTAGAATGCAATCCATTGACAGGAGCGAAGAAAACACAAACTTACACACAACACTGCTTTTAACCTGTACTCAATATTCAGATTTTATGTAGATAAAGTACTTCGGGCACAACCAAATCTGATGTTTAGTTGCTTTGATATCTCGTACTTCACTCGAGCGATGCAGGGCGGCACTGCTCCTTGGGGTAAAGAAACCCAGAGGCTGGTGAGTTGAATGAAGAAGCTCTCTTTCCAGAATGGCCACCACTCAAGTTTTTCTGAATTTTAGTAAAAATGAAGCCTATTGCTATGCAGATGCGATCCTCCCATTTCTCACTATAGAGCCTCGTCCCGTCCTCAGCGGGATTCACTTACAAAAGCCTTTGTTTGGATAATAAACTACAGATTTCAGACAGTTTGGGCATGCCACAGAGGCAAGGAGAAGAGGAAAAGGGCGGAAATGAAAAACTGAAAGAGAGAATGAGAGAGTTTGCAAAGGTCTCAAAGGAGCAGAAAAGCTCTTAGTACGCAAATCACCCGCAGCACCATAAATGGTTCTCTACTAAATGGACAAATGAGAATATTAAGAAAAAAAAACAAAAAACCAAAGCTCTCCTCTCTTTTTGTCTCTTTCATCCACATTGAGAAAAAAAAAACAAATCATCTTTATTCTAACCATTATGCACTCTCTCTGCAACTGCCTCACAGGTTACGTACACTGAGTCATCAACATCAACTAAATAATATAAGGGAACAGACTGCAGCATATACTGAGGGAGCACACGTTAATGTACACGTTCCTGTAGTCAGTTAAGTCTCTTAGACATCACAACTATTACTGCAGTACATACACTTAAAGGTGCGATATGTAAGAAACACAAACTTTGGTAAAACTACAACTTTGCTTCTTGCTAACAGTTAGCTTATAGCATCAGAGTGCACAGGGGTACAGCAAAAGGCAATTTGGGTCTTTACTAGAGCTCAACCGATATAGGTGTTTAAGACGGACACTGATGCTTATTGATTTTAAAAAGCTGAGATATTGGCCCTATGGCTGTATTTTTGTCAGGCTCTAGTCTTCACAGGTTTAATGTACATTAAAACATAACTAAGGGCTAATTATTGGACCTCTATGTACCTTTTTAAAATGTCAAAATATGACATATACGATCTTGTAATAGGACAAGACAGGTTACAAATCTGAGTACATTTCCAAGCATAGGTACAGAAATGTCTAAATCTAGAAATATCTACTTCTGTAACATTTCAAAAATGTCACCAGGGGTGATTTCCCTAAAGTACAAAAACACCCATCAAGAGTACAGTGGCAACTGTACCAAACCACTGTATCTCTGAATGTACAATATGGCTCTTTACTGTCCAACAGTGTGTGTATGTATGTATATATATATTAGGGGTGCAACGATACACAAAATTCACGGTTCGGTTCGGTTCGATACTTTGGTGTCACGGTTCGATATTTTTTCGATACAAAAAAAATGTTCATGCCTTTTTAATTTGTCATTTATTAAAATTATAAATATATATTTTAACTCAAAAGTACAGTTTTTAAATTTAACCCTAACCCTTGTGCGTGTTTTTTATTTTGACAGCGAATGCGCACCTGCGGACCACTTATGTGCAGCCCTGGTTATTTAGCTCATCATATTGCAGCCACAGAAATTCTTTTGTCCATGAAACCATAAAGCTGCACTTTCTTTTTGCCTTATAGTCTGATTTGTCATAACTTCTCCGTTTTGTGGTAAGCTTTTCTTTGGCTGTCACTTCTTCACCCTGACCTGTCTTATTTGGCTCAGCAGAACTGAAATGCTTTTACACACTCACTCACATAAGCTCAGCGATTCTCTGCGCGATCAACCTCTCACATGTTTAAGCTTGCTGCGGGAGATTTCACTTGTCATGTTTGCATAGTAAGCTAACGATTAATAAGACGATGTCAGAGGAATTGGTGCACAAATTATCATCACTCACAGATCAGTGCTGTCGCTCTCTATACACAGTTCACATGATTGCAAAGTGAAAGCAAAAAAACAAGCGCAAATTCAAACGCGACTTCAATATGTCACATATTGACAGTGGCTCACCGATGCCAATGACATAATTACCCAGCTACATTTCCGAAAGAATGCAAAAGCATTGACATATATTTTTCCTACAATAGCCCGACGGGCAGGGCAGAGATAGATTTTGGTAGCCCGACTGAAAAAATCGCTAGCTCCAGGACGTCGGGCTAGCGATATTGCAAGCCCTGTATCTGATTGAGGAATCACTCATCTTTGGAAAAGAGAGTTTATTACAGAGAAATGTCTCTTTCCAAAATAAAAGCTATACTATCCGCTTCTTCTGGGCTATATTCTCAGCAGCATAAGGAGAATCATGTGCTAACAGCTGTCTAAATAACTCGGCTAAAGTTAGTAGCATGCTTGCTTTTTTTTGTCTGCTTCCACTTGTCTTTGCACTATGATGATGTCGGTGTAAATGTGCAGTCATATTCGTTGTGTTCCCGCTAGTGCTTTCAGGTTAATCTCGTTGAAATGACCTTAACGCCACAACACGGCAAATCTCCGTTAACGAGCTACCGCCGATCACTCCGTGCATGGGGCTAGACGGCCAACACGTTAACGAGCTAGCTGCGCTAACACACTAGTTCACACCAATGTAATTGAGCATTGCATGGCACATTCAACATACTGTTTTACTTTAGTCCATGACTCGCTTACCTTCAGGGTCATACGTCACATGAAAACCAAAATAATTCCAAACGCCAGATCTGAATGATGTTCAATTTGCCTGTTGTAAGGAGAGCTTAACTTCTGTCTCGCTAGCTTGCCCTGTGCTTCTCCTTCTGACTATGCTGTCTGTGTTGAGCGCTCAGTGGATCTGCGCTCGACAGTGCAGCCTAGGCGGAGTAGTCGAACACAGATTCACTGAGCGCTCAACACAGACAGCATCGACAGAAGGAAAATTGATAAAATAAATTACAAATGTTGTATTGTTCGATACATATGCGTACCGAACCGAAAGCACTGTATCGAACGGTTCAATATCGATATGAATATCGTTGCACCCCTAATAAATATATATATATATATATATATATATATATATATATATATATATATATATATATATATATATATATATATATATATATATATATATACACAAATCCTAAAGTGTATTTTTCTTGGGTTGGGCTTATTTTGCTATTTCAGAGCACAGTAATGGTAGGGCTTTCACTGTTTCCCATCTTTCCATTAAGTTAAGAGACTGCTTACAGTAGCTCCAGAAAGCTCCAAAGCAGTGAGTGTTGAGTGGTTAACATTTTCTCATCCATCTCTCAGGAAGAACCTGTCAAAACGCTCAAGTAATCCTGTAGCATTTATTAATAAATGTTGCTTTACATATTGCACCTTTTCTACTTACGGATTTGACTATTTCTACCAACAATGGGTTTTTTTTGGTTACATACTGGTTGGCTGCTGATGTGATTATGGGCGTGGTTATGGTTGTTGTTGAGGATGGGGGTATGCTCATTAACATGGCTCAATGCGTGGCTGTGGTTGCCATGGGTCAGACTGTGGTAACAGCCTTGCTGGGATGTCTGGTGGCACGCTGGTGGGAGCGGCTGTGCGTGGCAACCTGATAAGCACAGTGATGTGCCGTAACGCAAAGACCCGCTCTGCTTTCCACAGGCGCTCACATTTGCACATTTCTGATGATATATATAAAAAAAGAATTAATGAAAAACATAAAGTTGAAATGTTAAAAGAGGACATCTAACCAGCTTTGCAAAGAACAGTGCTGATTTTTAATCAGAATTTAGCTAATCAAATAAATTTCCAGAGACAGCTTTGATTCCGTTTTAACAAGAGGGTGTAGCTGCAGTTCTACATCTTTACGCTGACTCTAAATGTCAAGGGTTTAACATGCTAATGAGATTTGTGAATATACCAAGAGCACCTGAGAGAATGGTGTTCACTGTAATTATGATGCAGCTATAACTGGTGGCAACCTCGTCAAATTATCCATCACAATTAATGTTCTCAAGGGTGCTGCGTCTCTCACACAGCCGCTCTCCGTGCATATGTGCAGTCTGAAAAGACATCCTCAAAGTCGCACGTATTTAGACAAGAAAAGTTAAGAAAAAACAAGAGCACCTGTCTGTCTAATGCACTGTCGCTGGCACACTGATGAGCCAACACACACCATGATAATACAGTTTACCCAAAATTAAACATTCCAGTTAGACTGTAAAGGAAAACAGAGAGTGAGAGTGTGGCGCGATGGCTTCATTGAGCAGAGCGATGGCTCCAAAGTTTAATCTTGAAAACCTCAGAGGAGCATTCAGAAACCCATAATCGTTACCGCAAACAGGTCTGAGGGAGAAATAAAGGGAATAGAGATGAGGGCTGCTCATTCTCTCATGGTTGTGGTGTTACTATACTGTCATTGCTGGGGCAGGTCAAGTCTCTATGATTTATCACACTATTAATAACATCTGGAACGCACACAATAACCTTACAGCTTATAGCTCTGCGGTCTTTTAGAAAAAAGAAAAAAGATGAAGGACTTTCAGTTAGAAGAACATAAAAGTGCTGAAATGTCTGTTGTGATAAAATATGATTAGAGGCTGTGATGTATAGACCAACAAGCTCCCACTCCCGAGTTGTCACACACTGATGCCTGGTGAGGACCGGACGATTTCACAACAGCTTTATTTCAATGCGCAGGTTAGTCCAACTCAGTTTGTCGGGTGTCTTTCAGTGCTCGTATGTCAAAAGACGGGAGTGAGAATATGTTTTAACAGCAAATGACAATGAAATGATATAATAGCAGGGGACTGTAGGTGAAACAGCAGACATTAGTTTCAGGCTGGAAACTAGACAAGCTTCAAGTGAAATTTCATTTTTCTGGGATGATGTCACATATAAAAAAAAGACACTGCTTAATGCATGAACCCCTGTTAAGGTAAAGATGGTTAAGGAGAAAACGAGAAAGCCAGGTGCAAGTTTGATCACGTCTATAATGGCATCATGCTTCGCTCTGCTGGAATTGGAGCTCGCGGGGAAAAGCTTCAGCCTGGTTAATGTTAGTCTGAGGCAAATGGACTGCAATGTGGGATGAAATGGAGTGCTATTCACCATGATCTGCACCTGTCCATTCTTGCAGGAGTCTGGTGAGTTTTCGCTGTCGTCTTTACATCCCCCCATTCGACAGCGCACTGCGTCCTGCACCTGGGGGTTGGAAGGGGGATGCGGGAGAGGGTAGGGTGGAAACAGAGAGAGGGAAGGAGGGGCGGGGAGGATGATGAGGGAGAGGAAAAGATGATGCAAAGGAAAGAAGTTAGTGGAGGAACTTTTCCTTAAGTTAGTTTGGCAAACATTGGAGCGTGGGGACCATGCTCCTTAAACAACGTACATGCTTCATCTATATCGCCGCAATGGCAAGTGTACGGTGAATACCAACTTATGCAAAAAGTCCCATTGTTCATGAGGAAACTCGGCTTGCAGATTATATAACAGTTATAGGAGCGGTATAGAAAGCTCATAGAATACTTTGAAAGTGAAAAATTTGAGCCTAGTGATTACTGTTCACAGCACTAATTAAAATTAACAGCACGGTATGTACTGTAGATGTTCTAAACCCGAGGCCTTTCCTGTGCTATGCTGTTTTTTCCTTATCCTCCCACATACTGTATCTAAGTAAACACACACCAGCGCGCTGTCAAAGGGCCGCTCCTTGTAACAAAGAACAAATCCCCCCCCTATCGCGATCTGTATTACAGGTATCCTGGTTAGTTGCTGAGGAAGTAGCAGCACATCGGGCGGTCTCCTCGTCTATGTACGCGAGTGGACTGCGTCCACGTCTGCATGGACTGGTTTATCCCCTCCATTGTTTCATTTTGTTTATTATTTCCTTTTATATCCATACTCATCCTCAGTGGCCTTTGTTGCCTGTTCTGTGTTAGTGCGCGAGTGTTTGTGTGTATGTGAGTGCGTGCACTGGCACCCAATGCACCTCATTTCTATTTCAAAGAGAAATGCCCCACTATGGATACCTACCTCTCTCTCTCTCTCTTTCCACATTCCTCTCTATTTCCTCCTCCCCCACTATCATCCCCTGCTTCGCTTCTAAATCACAGTTTCCTCTCACAGATCTCTGCGTGCGTTCCCTTCCTCACCACCTAACTTTAACTTAGTTCCTCCATCACAAGACGCTCCCCTTTCTGCCGTTTACATAATATCACACTTTATGCTACCTTCTCTCTGTTTTTGTTGCACTGTAATACATCCTGATCCCCCCCACCCTCCCTCTATTACTTCCTCCGTTGCGGCACTCCCCTCTGTCTGTTGTTCTGCAGCTACGAAGGATTTACGCTCACTCTTGCAAGAGGATTTTCATACATTTACAATAAATAATTCCTGGATTTACGGTACCCTGATCCCTGCCGCTTTTGTGGTATTGATTTAATGCAGCTAAGCATTCAGAGCATTTAAAAATTCACTTACAGTATGCAGTTCGTTCAATATCATAATGATCTCTTTGACAGAGGTTGCGTTGCGCGCCGCGTACATGCATCGGAAACAGATGACATATTTACAGTTATGGAAAACTGATGACATTGTAAAATCCATTAATTGTAGCCAGAGCAGTTGTGAGCGATGCCATATTGAATAAGTGTACACACACTGGCATGTGTGCCATTGTCTGTCTCAAGGGCAAGAATACATGTATGTCCATAATGAGTTTAAAATCCGGGATCCCTGGGGACACAGTAAAGCCTGTGGCAAACAGGCACTTGGGGCTATTAGTTAGGGACTTATCGTCTTATTTCATACAGCATCATAGTAAGCTCCTTAAAGCAGACTTGGATCAGATGGACAATGCCGCACTATCCTACTGCATTATGAAGAAGTAGTGCCGCAGCACAGGACATGAATACCGTGCTAATCCTTCTCGCGTCTGATCCGCTTGTGTTCTGACGTGACTTCATACTGACCCCAGAAGCTAACGTGACATTTAAGAAAATGAATCCCGGCATCCCAGCAAAGCCAGCGACTATCTCCGAGTTCACTGTGTGCTGCAGAGTTAGAATAAATTCAAAAAATGCGTGGCATCCACACAACAAATGCTCAACAGGAGGAGGGGGAGGAAGAGACTGGACTCACCTCTCGGCGCATGGCGCAGTGGACGGTGATGATAACAAAGCCTTGAACAGAGTCAAAGACGGCAAAGAGAACCTAGAGGAGATAAATGAGATGCTCCTGTTAGTTAGTGCACATTTGTTTAATACTGCAGTGGTTCTAAAACATTTTAAACCATGGCATCCCCCTTAATTTTAAGTTGTTTTATATTACTGTGCAAATGCTTAAACTTCAACAAACCATTGAATGAAATAAATGCAAGCACATATTAACTAACTGTATCGTACTTGTTTCCTTCAAAAGTAAAATTAGCTGAGAGTGCAAAATTTAAAATATTATAATATCCGCACTTGAATTCTCTGTAGTGTACCACATGGTGCTGTGGCACCCACTCTATTGTTATTTTGTGTTGTAATGAATCATTAGAGAAACCCTCATATAATAACAAAATGAGTCAGTAGTCATGATTATTCATAATAAATCATCACAGTCAATACTCTCACTCACTGTTTGTGTTGCTTACTTGTGATCTTGACAGTGGGAATTGCTTGTTTTAAAGTAAAATAAGATTATTTTCATATTGACCTATTTTTCCACTGGCCGGTTCTTTATTTATACATGATATTATTTGTCCCCAAATTTGCTAATTTGTCAAGATATGAGACTCGAACATGTAGACTGGGAAAAACAAAAAGTCTCTATTTTTTATGGTTGTTTCATTTTAACAGTGAGAGACAGAATATTGCTTAAAAATCCAGAAAAAAACATGAAACTCATTTGCATCTCTTTGAGTGAAATATGTATTTGACCAGAGACATTTATTTGTAGTTAGTCACCAGGTTTGCGCACATCTCAGGAAGATTTTGGTCCATTCCTCTTTACAGAAACTCTAAACCCTTTAAATTTGGCTTTGGGTTGTTTGGAGGAAGAATCAGCTTCCTCCACAGATAGGACTGAGATCTGGGCTCCATGACCTTACCTTGTTTTTTCTTTAGCCACTATTTTGTTGCTGTGGAGACATGTTTTGGGTCATTGTCATGCTGGAAGTCCCATCCAATTCAATTCAATTTTATTTATACAGCACCAAATCACAACAACAACAGTCACCTCAAGGTGCTTTATATTGTAAGGTAGACCTAACAATAATATATATAGAGAAAAACCCAACAATCAAATGACCCCCTTATGAGCAAGCATGTTGGCAACAATGGGAAGGAAAAACTCCCTTTTAACAGGAAGAAACCTCCAGCAGAACTAGGCTCAGGGAGGGAGGCAATCTGCCGTGACTGGTTGGGGTGTGAGAAGGAAGGCAGGATAAAATACATGCTTTGGAAGAAAGCCAGAGATTAATAACACGTATGATTCACTGCAGAGAGGTCTATTAACACATAATGAGTAGGAAAGGTGACTGAAGAAGAAATACTCAGTCCATCATGGGAATCCCCCAGCAGCCTACACCTACTGCAGCATAACTAAGGGAGGATCCACGATTCACCTTCAGTGTTCTGGCTTAGGGAATGAGGCCCTGTCCACTGGTTTCTCAGTGCAGTGAGGTTTTCCTGTACCCTTAGCAGAAATACAGTCCCAAAGTTTAATGTTTCCACCTCTGTGCTTGATTGTGGGGATGGTGTTCTTTGGGTCATGCTCAACTTTTCTCTTTCAAACTTAAGATGCGCCTTCATGAGCAGGGGGACTTGTAATCCTGCAACATTTCAGTCCATTATTGGGGAATGTGTTATCCGTAGTGTTCCTGGTGACTGCGGTAAAACTTCCTTCAGATCATTAACAAGCTCCTCCCGTGTAGGTTTAGGCTGATCCACCACCTATCTCATGATCATCCTCACACTATGAGCCATGATCTTGTACGGAGCTCCAGACCGAGGACAAATGATGATTATTTTATATTTCTTCCATTTCTGAATATTTCCACCAGCAGTTGCCACATTCTCACCAAGTTTTTTGCCATTGGTCTGACGTCCTTTTATAGCTCTTTGGTTGTGGAGAGGTTGGGATGGAAAAAACTGATTAAGTGGACCGATGTGCTTTATGCACATAACAAGTGGAGATCAGGACTATCTATAATTGATTGACTGATTGATTATATATGATCTGCACACAGCCTATCTGTGAAAGCCATAATTCTAAGTTTAGGGGATCAAACGCTTATTTCACCAAGTCACATGAAAATAAATTTATAACATAATCTGATATGTTTTTTTCTGGATTGTTGGTTGATATTCTATCGCTCTACTGATATAAAAATAGAAACTGTTTATTTCTTCATAAGTGAGCAAACTCACAAATTCAGCAGGGGATCAGATAACTATTTCCAACACTGCATCTTTATCGTTTGACTATTCAAGAACAAACAGCAGTGAATGTGCAAATACTTCATCTATATCTGTGACACAGCAGGTGTTTCTTAAACTTTCAGAGGGCTCCCACCATTTAAAAGCAGCTTATCCATGGTGTCTCAAAGCTACAGATGAGTGTCTTGCATGCATTGGTGTTGTGAGACACATCACCTGGAAGAGTGTGGAGCGCCGGTCAGTTATGGCCAGGACCGCTGACATCCAGGTTAACGCTAGCAGCGGGAGAACCACACAGGAGCTCCACAGAGATGCCCTGTCAGAGAGGAAAGAAGGAGACAGAAGTCGGGGCAGAGGAGGAGGAAAGGAGGGAATGAACAAGGGATTCAGTCTCAAACCAAACCAGATGAGTCATATCTGGTAAGTCACATAACTCAACTTCTCACACACATACACTCATGTAAACATGGAGATGAGGCATAGTTTCACAGCAGTGGGCAATTTGAAACTGATTGGCACACTGGGATTTGAATCCCACCGATAAATGGAAGATGATGTGTAATCATGTAGATAGTTTTGGACTGGCAGTTGCTCACAATTACATAGTTGATGCACACTAAGTGCCATGCTGGTAGACTGTGAAGACAATGGGCAGAAGCCCACCGAGGAGGGGGAAGACAAGTCACTGACAAGTACTGACATCGGGTTTCTGAGGTACAAGAATGTGTGTGCATGTCTGACTGTAACAGCACCACAAAGATAGACACCAATTTAAAATGTTCATGCTGTCTGAGCACATATTCACGGTTTTATAACTGTCCAATAAAAAAGACGGACAGCTCCGTCTAGCTACATGGAAAAATACGCAAGTCCCCGTTGATGTGCAAAACGAGCAAAAGCGAATAAAGAACAATAAATTATAGTGATGTATCTGCTCTTCTCCTGTGAACTCCCTGTGGTGCTGACTGCGGTTGTAACCAAACGTCATAATCCAGCAGAGCAACAAACTCCAAGAAATTTTTACATACAAGAAATAAAAATAATGAGAGTAAAAAAGAGGTATGATTCATATGAATTGAATGTTCCATAAGACTAATAAAGCTGATCCTACGTTTTACATATTAAAGTAGCATTTTTGCCCATCACTAATAAATCAATCTTGTGTGGGTGTGTGTTCTTTGCCTTGACAGCTTATACAGTCGAGCTAGTGACAATCTGTCAGGTAAATGTCAAAGTAAGCAAGTAAGTAAACCACCTGAAGTCCAATATGACTTGTATATGTCTGAGACTTAGGTATAAGGAACAATGACTATAGTCAGGGGTGCACATAAGTGGTCCGCAGGTGCACATTCGCTGTCAAAATAAAAGACGTGCACCAGATAAGAAGTTGCCACGAGCGTTTGCGTACATATAAAAGGGACTGTTTTTATCCGCGAGAGTGGGATTTTCACGGCATATTCTGCACCACATCTCTGTGCGTTCATCATTTGTTTGAAGCCAGCTCGCCTCCTGCAACCACTTTTCCGAGAATACGCGCTTCTTTTGCGGTTCGAACTCCTTCTGACATTTCTTTGGAGGTGGAGGAAAACCAAAGTAATAGCTTAAAGGAGCTTGCTTATTCGAAAACTTTAAGAGTTCTAAACAAATGTGTGTCCTCCTCCAGAAAATCTTATGTACGCAAATGCGCGTTACAACTTCTTATCTGGTGCGGGTCTTTTATTTTGACAGCAAATGTGCACCACTTATGTGCACCCCTGACTATTGGATGGTTTGGAAATTCATACAAGTTTGCTATTCTACTTCTTTTCTGAGCCAATATGTAACGATAAAGTCGACTTGTCTTTAGCAAGGATCTAGGCAACTGAAAAACATGAAAAATAACCCTGAGTGTGAAAGTTTACAGGTCTTCCTGATTATGAAACCATTAAAACAATCCTCAGAACAGAAGAAACAATCCAGTGTTTGAAAAGAAACTGCTATGAATCTTTTTTTAGCAAAGCTCAGCAAAGAAAACACATCTAACAAGACATTTAAGATTTTTTTTAAGTGATTTTTTTATTTTATTTTATTGCCTTGATTTTTAGTATTATTGTTATTAGTAGCAGTCTATGTATTTCTTTTTAATCAGTTTTATTAATGGTTACAATGAGATTTGAATTGTAAATAATCTTATTTGTCTTACTTGGCCTTTGTGCAGCCCCTCAGCTCACAAATGTTTTTAAACAAGCCGTTTTAACTCTTCTTCATCTGTTTAAATCAACTTTTTTTGTTTGTTTCTGATTGGCCTGCCCATTAAAAGCAGACGGTGGGTGGGGCTTATGTGTTCACAGAGAGAAATCTCTTTTTTGTCATTATAATAAGGATGACACCTTATTAAACACATACACCACTAAACTTATATCACTAAACTTGGAGCCAGGTTTTCCTTTTTCTCACATGTACGTGATATTACGTGTGTTACTGTGAATATTTACTTGATCTGGTTAATATGAAATCCACGTTTATGCAAGTACACTACCCAAATAGTTTGCTTCATTAACAACCTTTCTGAACATTTCGTAACACAAACATGATTAAAACAAACTTCCAAATATGGTTCACAAATATAGCTTGACAGGGGTCAGATTTGCTTAGTGCAACCAGAGGAAATACCACTTTGGATGAAAACATGATCTCATTAAATTGCAGCGATAGTAGAGCAGGTGTTTTTCCTTTCATTACTTAGCCAGATCCTGCATCATAACTGAAAGCCAGAGATTACAAAAGATGTAGGAGAGTGAGGGCAATGGAGAGAAAGAGAGAGAGAGGTGAAGATGGACTAACATGGCGCTGCTGGCAGTCGAGTTGGACATAACGGTGCTTGAGATCACGCCACACTTGGAGCATTTCAGGAGCAGTCGGCTACGCGCCTCCGCTGGGACACTTTAGGACATGTACAGACATACATACATAAACACATACACGCACGCACCCAGGTGAAGAGGACAGGAGGTAGGTAAGGGTGTGGGATGTGTGGGAAGGACAAGTACCAGTTATGACAACAGGTGAATGTGCCGGTGTCACAGTTGCAAAATAACCAAGAGGAAAAAGTAAAGAAAAAGAAACATAAAGAGAGAAAGTGGACACAACAAAGAGAAGAAATAAAAAGAAAAAAAGAGAGGGGAAAAAGGGGGAAGGAGAAAAGAAAGAAAGGAAAAATTAAAACCAGATCTTAAAAAGTAGCAGCAATGAAAAACAGTCAGAATACAAAGATCGATTCAGAGCAAGTAGAGGGAACATGAGAGACGGACATTGTAATGTTACAGCAATCATGTGGATTAACAGATTACAGTGATGCAGACAGGAAGTACCGGTGCAAGTACCAAAAATATATTCCCCGGCCAGTGCAAGCAGGTCTATGTGTGTGTTTTCATTTATATATGTATATATATATATAAATTTTTTTTAATTTATCTTTTTTTTTTATATCACTGTGCAAAAGCAAAAGTGAAGCTTTCTGACTCCTTTGGTTGTTTATTTACTTACAGTCGACCACTCAGACAGAAAGAGAGAGTGAATGTGCGCACGCTTGCGTGTGTATATACTGAATTTGAGTATATACGTGCAAGCAGAGAATGATGGGGCAGTATGTTGCTATGCTACATTAGCGTCCCAGCACAGCTCATTGCCTTGTTGCCAGCCACATCCCCATGGCTTCATAAGGAAATACATTACGCTAATGACAGCTTGTCCTGTTAGCAACACGACCAACTGTGGTGCGTGCGTGTGTCTGTGTGTATGTGTGAGCATTTTATTTCTGTAAACACACTTCTGAGAATCGGGGGACGAAATGTGCTTACTGCTCGGATAAGGCCAAGGACTTTTCATGCGACAAAGGAGGATACACCTGTTCGTGTGTATTTTCGTGTGCGCGTAGGTGTGTTTGTACACAGCGACTGGTTTAATCTCAGGTTGCATCACCGGGTAACAAAAGCTAATCAACCCCCTGGAGAGCAGAGCTGTACTGTTAACCCTTGATGCTACGAACAAATTAAAAGTTCCATTTGTGCACTACTGTATAGACGTTGGAGGAAATGCAACGGCATAAAGAAAAAAAGGAGAACAAATGATGGAATCAATAGGTGTAAAAATTAAAACATGGATTTTTAGATGTGGGAGTGCCATTCAGAATGAGAAAGATGATGAGCGCAGCGAACTACTTTAATACAAACAACGGTGGAGCTAGAGACATATGCCTGTATATTGTGTGTATGTGTGGGTTAGGATTCAATAGTATAGAAGGTTTAATCCACATAATCCAGGTATTTATTGAATGTAATTAGATTTCCATCTGCCATTGATTTTCACATCCACTTTATTCGGCGATGTCACTTCAAGCACACAAAACTAGATGGGTAGCGTATGTTAAAGCGAAGTAAAATGCATTGCACAGAGCAACAAAACACAGCAGATGTCTTGTCATTTTGTTGCCAAATTGGATCATATTTTTTCTGTTTCTTTTCCTTTTTTTGTATAATTTTTACTGAAGGCACAGATGTACAGGTAGGTGTACGTGCTCAGACCCTCGAAAGCATTTCTAGTTAATTGCCATGAATACTTTGTGCTCCTAACTTTGTCTGACAGCAGGGAAAATGTAACTAATGCAGCAAATGTGCGTGGATGGACGTGTGTGTGTGTCTATGTGTAAGTATGTGTGTGAAGTGCAGGCAACTTACCCAGCACGCTGCTTTTTAGACTTGTCTGAGATGCCGTCTCGAGACATGAGCTTGTTAAACACCACGATTCCAATAAGCATATTCACCTGAGAGACAGAGACACATTGCTGTGATACAAGAGTCGAGAACAGGCGATCAAATGGCTTTGTATTTTCTTTTATTAATGTTTCACAAGGTTGAAGACAACTTTGTAAAAGCCGCATAGACCAAGTTGATTTTTAATTGTCAATAAAATTAATGAATGTTTATAAGCCATTAGTAATGGTATATTTTATCTGTATTATCTCTGCTAACCACTTTGTGATTTTGATAGCATTTGCATGTGTGTCATCACTCTGTAAACATTCGATAGCTCAAAAAGTTTTGAATGAATTTTGATAAAACTCTGTAGGGATGTAGAGTGGGGTCACATCAACAAGCCATTAAAATTTGGTTTACATCACCATGGTCTTCCAGGTCAACTTAAAGATTTATTGATTGAAAACTGACAAAAAGCCATAAAACTATGATTTGGATAGAAAGTGCCATATAAAGATTTTAAATATCATGTCACATGACCTCTGACCTCTCCTTTGAGGTCAATAGATTGATAATAATAAGTTATAATAATGTTACAGAGCTATTTATGGCAATGTTTCCTGCTGCTATTGTTTATGTTGACAACATACAGAATGATATGAGGGGATTCTAAATATTATGCCATTATATTACAGTGGGGCAAAAAAGTATTTAGTCAGCCACCGATTGTGCAAGTTCCCCCACCTAAAATGATGACAGAGGTCAGTAATTTGCACCAGAGGTACACTTCAACTGTGAGAGACAGAATGTGAAAAAAAAATCCATGAATCCACATGGTAGGATTTGTAAAGAATTTATTCGTAAATTAGGGTGGAAAATAAGTATTTGGTCACCTCAAACAAGGAAAATCTCTGGCACTCACAGACCTGTAACGTCTTCTGTAAGACGTTTTTCTGTCCCCCACTCGTTACCTGTATGAATGGCACCTGTTTGAACTCATCATCTGTTTAAAAGACACCTGTCCACAGCCTCAAACAGTCAGACTCCAAACTCCGCCATGGCCAAGACCAAAGAGCTTTCGAAGGACACCAGGAAAAGTATTGTAGACCTGCACCAGACTGGGAAGAGTGAATCTACAATAGGCAAGCAGCTTGGTGTGAAAAAATCAACTGTGGGAGCAATCATCAGAAAATGGAAGACATACAAGACCACTGATAATCTCCCTCGATCTGGGGCTCCACGCAAGATCTCATCCCGTGGGGTCAAAATGATCATGAGAACGGTGAGCAAAGATCCCAGAACCACACGGGGGGACCTGTTGAATGACCTGCAGAGAGCTGGGACCAAAGTAACAAAGGTCACCATCAGTAACACACTACAACGGCAGGGAATCAAATCCCGCAGTGCCAGACGTGTTCCGCTGCTGAAGCCAGTGCATGTCCAGGCCCGTCTGAAGTTTGCCAGAGAGCACATGGATGATACAGCAGAGGATTGGGAGAATGTCATGTGGTCAGATGAAACCAAAGTAGAACTTTTTGGTATAAACTCAACTCGTCGTGTTTGGAGGAAGAAGAATACTGAGTTGCATCCCAAGAACACCATACCTACTGTGAAGCATGGGGGTGGAAACATCATGCTATGGGGCTGTTTTTCTGCCAAGGGGACAGGACGACTGATCCGTGTTAAGGACAGAATGAATGGGGCCATGTATCGTGAGATTTTGAGCCAAAACCTCCTTCCATCAGTGAGAACTTTGAAGATGAAACGAGGCTGGGTCTTCCAACATGACAATGATCCAAAACACACCGCCCGGGCAACAAAGGAGTGGCTCCGTAAGAAGCATTTGAAAGTCCTGGAGTGGCCTAGCCAGTTTCCAGACCTCAACCCCATAGAAAATCTGTGGCGGGAGTTGAAAGTCCGTGTTGCTCGGCGACAGCCCCAAAACATCACTGCTCTCGAGAAGATCTGCATGGAGGAATGGGCCAAAATACCAGCTACTGTGTGTGCAAACCTGGTAAAGACCTATAGTAAACGTTTGACCTCTGTTATTGCCAACAAAGGTTATGTTACAAAGTATTGAGTTGTATTTTTGTTATTGACCAAATACTTATTTTCCACCCTGATTTACGAATAAATTCTTTACAAATCCTACCATGTGGATTCATGGATTTTTTTTTCACATTCTGTCTCTCACAGTTGAAGTGTACCTCTGGTGCAAATTACTGACCTCTGTCATCATTTTAAGTGGGGGAACTTGCACAATCGGTGGCTGACTAAATACTTTTTTGCCCCACTGTATATCTTTGCTATGCAGTAACGGCTATAAGAGTTTAAATACATAACAATTTGAATAGATGGTGGTTTGTGAACTTTTAATAAAAAAAACCCCCAACATGTTTATTATTAAAAATTTAAGTGGATTTACTAAACAATAAATGCTACACATGAGCTTTATCTACATAAGAAATACAAATAATAATAATCATACTAAAAATGATGTCTGTCCGTATCTTAAAATGGGTTTCAAAAGGGCAAATAACAAAAGCTTGTACTTTTACTTATTTTTACTGCACTACAAACTTCTTAGTCTTTTAAAAAAGGCAAAAGAAACTAAAACTAATATCTAGAAGATACAACATTATTCCCCTAAGAGTAAATACTGTCCAGGGAGAGTGAGCTGACTTGGCCCTGGGGTCGGTTGAATAAAAGCATCTATTTATGAACTATACAAAGTATTATGTATACTATTGAAGCCAAGCATAGGCTTTTTTTCTAAAGGTTTTATTACTTACTAATTCCTACGTCAAATTATGTCATGCTTCAACTAGCAAAATCTAGACAATCAACATATTAAGTTACATGAACAAATTCAGCTTTAATTTGGTGAACTGAAGGTAACAGACATTCCTTTCATTGGTTTCATCCTACTCCTTCTATCCACATAGCACAGGACAGAAGTTTTTTTTTTTTTTTTTAAATGAGCAGGTCCTGTACTTTTCTTAACCTATAATTATGGCAGTTCTGAAAGCTTTAAAAAACTGCTTCTCATACTTGTTTCTCTTACTAATGAGGAGTCCGTTGTTAAGCCTGCCAAACATCTGGGTTATAGCGGTGACCCAGTGATACAGATTCAATAAGACGCACTTGCACATGGCTCTGAGCCGAGGCTTGCCACATGTAGACCCCTTCTACTTTGAAATCCTGCCCATGTGGGAGATTTCCTGTGCTAGCGACATGTTCGTCATAATCCTGATTGCCAGCATTCACTCATACGCGTTCTTCCATCAGCCATAGGTTTCTCTGCCTATTCTTTGTTTGATCGTTTATCAGGTTCTTTGGGAAGTCTGCTGGAGGAGCGAGCGGTGTAAGTGACAAGTGATTTTCACACCCTGATGCGTACCTACACAGCTCCTACAATGCATTCCTATTCTTACCAAGCTCTTGAACTGAATGTCTGCCTGAATACCTCCTTCAGCTCATGCCAAGAGCTGCTACTAGCTAAGAGGAAAAAATCCATATGCTGAAAACATGTCTGCCAAAAATTACAACCACTAAGCGGCTTAACAGTTAGAGTCTGACATACACGTACCGTGTTAAATATTTGGTTTTCACATCCTTTGCAGAAGCCTAATTTCTGCTCAAATCCCATTTCTTAGAAATGAAATGGAAAATATGAGTATTTCCTTTCACTGCATATAATAATAATCACAATAATAATAATAATAATAATAGTAATAATAATAATAATATGTCATTATCTGGTAGATGACACTGCATGACAGATATATTGTATTATAGAGTGTGTAGTGATTTAAAAAGATACAGTCAATCACAGAGCCTTCCTGATCAGTTCAGTCAGTCTGTTGGTGTCTCCAGCTGCGATGCTGCTCCCCCAGCAGACCACAGTAAAGTACACTGTGCTCACCACAACTGAGTGATGGAAAATCTCCATCATTTTGCTGCACACATTGATGGATCTCAGGTTCCTCAGGAAAAAGAGCCCGCTCATCCCATTTCTTTAGTATACAACTTCTGTGTTGGTTTTCCAGTTCAGTCTGTTGTCACTGTGGATGCCCAGGTACTGGGTACTCCTCCACATTAATAGCCTATGCCATCACAGACAAAGCTGTGTAGCGGTCCACCTCCCTCTGGTCTCGATCGCCACCTCTCTGGTCTCATTCAGATTCAGAAGCAGATGACTTCTGCCACACCACTCCACAAAAACATCTACTAGTGCTCTGTACGTCTCCTCCTACCCATCACTAATATATCCAAACACTAGACCTGTCAAGAGTATTTGCGTATGTGCCATGACCTGGAGTTGTACTGAGTCTGAGGTGTACAAGGTGAACAGGAATGGAGACAGCACAGTCCCCGGTGGAGCTCCTGTACTGCACATCACCAAACTAGACAGAGCATTTGGTGGATCGTCAGTATGGTACATGTGGCATTTACGATTCATTAAAAAAAAATCTCTTTCTCTGATCTCTTCCAGTCTCGCGTGTGCTACTGACAACTACCTACAACGTGCCAGACTGTGACAGCACTATTGTCATGCCAGTCATGTCTGGCCCAGGCTCTGTGAGTCAGCACCATCCTGCTCAGCTATTTGCCCAAGGCCAGGTTCATTAATTAGAGAAGAGTCCTGTGGGAAGGTCTGTGTTTCTCTGCCCAACGCCCTGCTCTCATTACAGCTGTTTGTTAGAGTGCGGCCCCAGCAACAACACCAGGGGGCCAGGTACCACGTAGCAGCTGGGGTGTGGAGCGTACTTTGACATTGCGGAGGAGAAAAGCTGGAAGCGCATCAAGACATACTAGGCACTGAAAAATAACTTTAAGCAAGTTGGTGGGTTTTATGAAACTGCTCCAACTTTCGAAACTTGAATGTTTAACTTCTTCATCTTATAACTTATTCAAATACGCTTTTTTAGAGTCATGCATTTTGCATTTTTTTAAATAAAGCACCAACCTCGCGAGTATTTAGAGTTTTTATACAAGTGTATAAACACTATTTAATATTTTCAATTAAAGGAATGCGATTTATTACTGTTTTGCATTCAGTTTCAGACTATGTAACCTTTAAATAATAACAGTGGCATTGCAAGACACTAGATTAACATAATGATGAATATTCAGCAGCACATAATCCTGTATTCCCTTGTGCCTCAAACTGCAGCTTGCAGAAACTGTCTAACTGCTGTTTGCTTGTCAGGGATTTACTTCAAAATCATGCATATCACTCTGCACACCTGTGCTGTCTGATCCATGTTTCCTTCCTGACGTGTACTGTACGGTACATGTGCAAACAACAGAGGAAAAGAAGCTATAAACGGACACACACAACAGCAACGCCAGTGGCAGCAATTACCAAACTTTAATGCCCCATCCAGACTTATTAAGCTTAGTGGTGGCAATATCTACCCAGGGATCCATTTAGGAGAAATTAGCTGAGCCACATACAGCAGCACACAGAAGCAGATGATTAAAACGCCTCTGAGATACAATCAGTGCACTCAGTTTTGCTGTAGTACAACACAGAAGTATATTTACTTCAACATAAAACCGTCTGCTTTATGGCAACTGGCAAAAATGAAGAAAGCGCACATTATTACGTTCCGTGGAACACAAGTTAGCTGCATATTTAGATCTGAAAATACCACTGGACCATAATAATGCTTAAAACATTGGCTACAGAGCCCTATGCTTTGAAAATGCATATAACAGTGAGAGATTCGGGGCTAGAGCTGCGATGGAGGTCCACTCTTGCGCTGCATTGCCGGCAGCTCTTGTCAGCTAGAATATGTTTTTATTTTTTTCTGGGCTGACATTTTAGACTCAGCGATCAAAGCGCTCAGCTCATCATTGTGTCGTGTACACCCTGGGTGTGTATGCTTACATGTGCATGCGCGAGTGAGGAAAACCCTCAGAGGTCAACATGCATTTGCTTTAATGCCCCAAGCTGGGAGGCTAACTTTGCAAAAATATTTGGAGAATATTTGTGCCGTGTGACTACAGAGAGAGGCCGGCTGGCTGAGAGGAAAGGAACTTCGTCATGTAGATGGAACCTGACTCCTCCCTTAGTCACGCTCCTGTTGGCTTCCCATGATGCACTGAGTGTTTCTTCATTCACCCTTTTTAATTCTATATGTGTTTATAGACCACCGTTTATACACCATTACTAAACGCTGAATCTCTTCCAGTGTGGATTTTGTCCCACCTCCAACTGCTCACAACAGATGGCTGCCCCTCTCCCTGACCCTGGTTCTGCTGCTCCTTTTAAAAGGGAGTTTTTCCTTCCCACCATCGCTAATTGCTTGCTCACAGGGGAACGTCTGGTTGTTTGTTTTTTTCTCTATTATTGTAAGGTGTTTATCTTACAGTATAAAGTGCCTTCAGGCAACCATTCTTGTGATTTGGTGCTATATAACTAAAACTGAACTGAACTGAAGCAGTGACGCACTCACCAATACAATGACAGCAGCTGGCCCAACAAAGGCATAAAGCAAACCGCCTTCCAACGATAGCCAGCAACTAGTAGAGGGAAAAAAAGAAAAAAGGAGAGGTGTTAAAAAAGTGCGTAAACACAGAAAAATCACAGCATGTAAAATATCACGTCGCCAGATTCCGGTCTCACATTTCACTTACTGTGAGTACCAAGTACTTAACAAAAACAAGTAGACATTCAATTAAGTATCACATTAACTCCAAATTTCCTTGGTGAGGGATAAAGCCTTTCAATGTGTGGTTAAGTGCCTCTTTCTGTAAATAATGCCCTCAGTGCTGAGCAAATTTATTATGTACATTACCTAAAACATATCCTCAAACTGGAAATTTTATTTGGTTTTTGCAAGCTAGTGAGACTTAATGAGCTTAAATGTGTCCTCCAGTAATGTCATCAGAGCACGCGGAAACCCCTCTGTCATCTTAATTACAGCTCAATAAAGAGAAAGCTTAAGATGGAACCCCCCCCCCAAAAAAAAAAAAAAAAAAAAAAAACCTCCACAAAGCCCTCACGTTAAGTAAAATATGGGAAAGTGAACCTTTTTAAGATGCATTTTATTGACTGGGTACGTAATGAAGCTTTTTTGTGTACATTTTGCTTAAAGGTCAGCCTAGCTGCCTTGGATTTTCATATTCTTGAACAAAACATTCAAATCATGCTTCACCTGTTTGACGTGGTTATTGAAATGCCTTAAAGGTCATTTTGCGCTCACACTTGACAGCAAGGAGATTAATTTTATATTGAAGACCTTAAAACTATTAGTTTCTCACTTGAATGACAGAAACAAGCCATTTGGCCCTAAGCTGGAATAATTTCCTTAATTTATGAGCAAATTTAGAAAATCTAAATCTTTAATTCTTTTTTCAGTGGTGGAGTTGCTGGATATTGAGCCATTGCAATAATATTAACAGAACCACAAAAATCAAAAGCTGATTAGCTGATTAGTTTTTGACGATTAAGGTTTTCACACATGATATGTAAATATGTTTTATTTAACCTGCCGATCAGAGCTGGTTTTCAGGGGGTTAATGTGTCCCTGCAGTGAACAGGACTGTCAATGTTATACCATGCCCACTACATAAGCAGCTAAGATGTGTTGCGTATTGAACATAGTGCATGCTGGGATAGGCAACTGTCCTCCTGTGGCACAGAAGAAAGAAATATACTATAGCAACTGTATGAATAGATACATGGATACATGGAGAAAAGACTGATGATGTTGATGTAAAAGAATAGATTTGGGGTTTACACACTCAGCTGTTTATAACACACACGGCTGCTTTGACTGAATAAACTAAATACATAAAAATACTCGCCTATGAAATAAACTTTAGTTTGAACACCTCAAGGGGAAAAACACTTGCATATTTTGATTCATCAGCAATGAGGCCAATGAATGGTACTCTGCCTCTAGCCCACACAAATGCATGGTTGAAGCTGGTATTTAGTGATGATATTCACATAGACTGAGACAAAGTCAGGAGGTCTGGAAGCAATACTCACTAGCTGGCTGTGCCGTAACCTCTCGCTCTGGTGAAACCCACTGACACTGCTACAACAAGGGCTGGAAGACCTACAGACAGACATGGGGAGAAAGATCAAAAGTGTGAGACAAAAGATAAAAGAGAGCCTTAGTGGGGACGATGAAGCATGTCGGCCCAATAAGATTTCCCAGTATGAACAACTCTATAAGGCTCCTTTCATTAAAATGCTAAGCAGCCATGCAATAGAGTGTAATATGAATGTATGATTCAAAGTGACTGGGCGCTCTATAGGCAACCCCAGCGCTCTGTACTTCCTGACATGAGGTCTAGCTACAAGCATGAAAACTGGGGTTAGATAGATGGAAGTTATTTTAGTCATAGGCGACGCAAAGCACACAGTGTGGGTGTGTGCAAGCAGCACCAGGAGTACTTGAGCATATGAGATTTAGAGGCAGTTTGTAAAAATGCAAGATATAACTAGGAGTGGTCAATAAGTCATACAATAATTAGCTAAATCAAGTGATTTGTGTGTGTGTGTGTGTGTGTGTGTTTGTCTACGCACAAATGAGAAGGAAAGAGAGTGAGACCAAGTGTCGCAGAATGCTTGCCAGAAACAGAAGGAAATATGCCGGGCCCTGTAATGAGCTTGGCTCTGAAATATTCATGTAATTAACAAAGCTGTGATTATGGCTGCAAATGAAAAGCAATTAGAAAAAGTCACATTAACATTAACAAATAAGATGGTGGAGAGCCAGGCCGATCCACTAACCAGCGAAGTTTCAATTAGTCAACATCATCAGTCTAGCATTTAACTCTATGTAGGACGGCAAACCGCGCACCTACACTTCAGGCTTACACGGTCTGCTGCTAATCTAACGCAGATCCGGTCCCGCCCCGAAATCTCCCGTTGCCATGGCAACCGATTTCAATCACATAATTTGGGGAAGAAAATTGGGAAATGGACGAGAGGAGGATAAGCTGTTTGATCCTCTCCACTATGCTCGACCGTTTCACGCTTTCTGTGTGCATCTGCAAGTGTGTCGGATAATTGAACAGCTGGCACGCGCCCCCGCCGTGCGCCCGGAGCCTTCCTCGCGTTCTGTAACTGCACAGCGTATACATTTCGCTCTGTATCAGGTTAGGGCATCAGTGACTTGGCAGATTAGACCTGTGGGATCAATATCAAGTGAAATGAAATGGGTGTGGGGGTTGTGATTTTTTTTTTTTTTTTTGTGCTATCTCACTGCTCATCTTGCTAGGGTTGTGCTGATGTTATCATATGTTTTGATTAACATCCCATCTAACATCCCTGCTGCCTGTTGAGTTATCAGGTCGTCTAGGTCACAGCATAATAGAGTGACATGCGGCACAAATGGGGGAAAAAAAAAAGTGACATAGACTCACAGGCGGAGAGGAGAGAGTTTACCTGTAAAGAGTGACACCCTCTGAGAATGTGTATGCATGAGACAGCTTACACATGGGGCTTTGGCTGAGTTAGATAAAATTACAGTAGAAAGCTGTAATGAATGCCTTTTGGGAAATGAAGCAGCAAATAACAGCATACGGTGAAGAAAAATGGGATATAAATTAGAACGGAGCAAATGAAGATTGTTAAGCATAATACAGCCAACAATTTCAACACTATGGCATAATAAGCTGTTACATTTTCATGTAAAATAAGCCTGTCCTGCTGCTCTCCATCACCAATGCATGTCACACAAGAGTGCCTCAATCAGAATCCAATTCATGAAAGGGTCTTCATTTGCCAAGCTGACAATCCTCTGGCATCCGAGGATAGCGGATGTTTTCGGTAAAAGAAACGGCAGACACCTTTATTATCAGCTAAGTGTAGAGAATGCCACCATTATATTGGATGTGATAATTCATGCATTCTGCATTTTGAAACAAACGCCGTGCTTTCTTCACTGGAATTCACAAACGCGCCTGTCAAAGTGTTCAGATTTCCAGGAAAATCATGGCAACGACAAACAAGTGCATAGCAATACATATTAATGCTTATGGAGGGGAGTCAGGAGAGAATTAATGAAGTCACTGTGTTTGTGCACTCACTGTGATCAAACGTGCTTTGCGTGTACAGTCATGCAGTGTTAGACTCATGAACAAAAAAGTGACTTTTTGATAACTTTAACATTAAATGAAGATGGACGGTTGTTGCTTTGATTCAAAGACTTCCAATCCAGTGTCTTTCTAGTTGGTCGGCTTAAAAAAAAACACTTTTGGGGGTCATTAAATGCATTGAATCTCTAGTAAGTTAAAGACTCAGCTGGTCATTATTAACAAGTAGCTGTTACTGTGTTTCCAAAGTGCTTTGGTACATTGTTCTTTATATCAGGTGGTAAAGTTCTAAGGACGGAAGATGCCCTTCCCCATGCAGCCCATAAATGCAGAAATACAATTCAACACAGTTGCAAAAGGCTGTTTCTCACACAAAACCTTGATGAAAACAAAAAATGTCAATGAACAAATCACCGAAACAGCCGTCAAAATAAACAGTTCCTCTGATGCTGTGAAAAACCAAGGTGGTCGAAATGTTTAGATGTTCTGTCAGAAAGACAGACAGACTCCCCTTAGCTGCTGAGTTCCAAACAGGTTTCTACGACAAGTTTTACTGACACTGAAAGCCTTGTGAGCCAGACTAGTATTTTTCTGAGTATAACTGACAACAACTTTGCATCAAAGCAGCCAAGTTTGAAGATTCCTTTATCTCCAGCAAACACGATGGAGCATTTGGTAATCGTCGTCTTCTTCCGGCACACGGTTGACCTTGTAACATGTTTAACTGATCAGGATCCTCCACGTTCAAAAGTTGCTGCAACTACAAAGATTCTTTAAATGAGTTTGCCAAAAACGTGTGACTTTGCTTGGCAGATTTACATAATTTTAGAGACTTTTCAGCATGGAGTGTATGACAGTTTATACACTGAAATAATTCCAACATACTTTAGAAAGAGGGGGAAAAAAAAGAAAAGGGAAACTGTTCAGCTATGAAAGCGCATTATCTATTTTGATCACAAAGACACAGAAAGCAGTAATTGTTCAAATTGTAGACAATTGGGCTTTGATTTGGCGAGATGTGATAAAACAATCGCAAGCGCTAACAATGAATGAGAAATGTTTTTTTCTGCTGTGCGCAAATAACAACATGTTGTGAATGATTTCACATATTGTTTTGACAACTTGAACTATTATTTAAGAAGCGAGAAAGACTGCGATGAACAGTGGCGTGTCTAGAAAATTTTTGTTGGGGGGGCCAGGTAGGGGCACAGATTTGGAGAAGGGTGGCAGATTTAATTGGCAGATAATGTTTAAAAAAAAATTCTACCAACCCTTAACCATAATTCAATAATCCTATAAACCTAATAACCAAATGCACTTTTAACTCTTATTAGAATGAGATTTTAACCACTACGGTGCAAAGTTTTTAGATACTGCGTTGATAAAGTACAAGAGATACAATCAGTGCTTTGTCAGTGCTTACTCAGCATTCAAGGACATCAATATTTGCATAGTATTTTTACTGACATATAGTGCACATATGTTTTGGGCAAAAACATTTTTGAAAATTAAAATACGAACATTTGTAACAAACAATTGACAAATTAGCCAGTTCCAATGTAAAACTTTCTCTGCCTGTTAAAAAAAGAAGATAATCTTCTCACAAACTGGTGTTTGATTTTGAAACAGGAAAAAAGTGGGGAAACAAATGAAAAGACTAACATTTGAATAAAACCTGAAAGCAAGTAAATACTTTCTATGCTGCCTTATGGTAAACTTTGGTAATATTGATAAAGAACAACACTGGCTGATGATAAAATGCAGTCAGCTGGCATGGTGACACTGCCAGTATTAACCTGCAGGGCTGGACTGGGACAGAAAATCGGGCATTTTGACTACAGACCGGCCCACCAGGTATTAAAGCCATAAAGCCTTTGAATGAAAACAAATGCTGTTGTGACAGTGATGTACAGTCTTGTTGGTATATGTATGATTTCTATACATTTTACGTCAGATAAAAACTTTGGTTGTAAGATTTAGATAATTATTTAATAAAAACTAGGTATTTTAAATGAGAATAAGAAAGAAAAGTATTTCTTTGTGCCCCCCTTTCCCTGTTAATGCCCTACCTGGCCCCCTGGCAAAACTTTGCTAGACCCGCCCCTGCACAGTTACCAGCTGTCAGCTACATAAAAAAGGATCCTGGTGTTATTTATCTCTCAGAAACAGTTGATAACTTCAACTCATTCATGTCACCTAAAAGGTAAACCTGTTTCTCCATCACCTGTTCAGCTCTGATGGTTCAGTAAGGACATCTCCTGGTTTCATCTTCATGTTTCCCTCTCACCACATATCTAAACAGACATCATGACCAGCAGCTTTACAGCTGTGGCTCCAGCAAACATCAGCTGATACTAGAAATTAATATTAAATACATTCTAACAACAGCTGATCAAGCTTAAACGTGCTGCTGTTGTTTAGCGCAATATCCGCTGGTTTCCTCTTTCTGGCGCAAAGTGGGCGATAAACAAACAAGAGAGAAAAGCTGATCAGCTGATCATTGATCAGTTTCATGATTGAAGTAGCAACAGGAGAGAGAGGGGGAGAGAATGAGAGAAGAAGAGGCAGCTGTGCAGCATAAAGACAGAATAAATCCAGCTTTGTGTCTTTTTTCCATTCTAGCTAAAGTTCGGGACAAACTGCGTCTCTTCTCAGCTCAATACGAAACGCGTAATATTTTCTCTGAATGAGGGACCATTCCATTTTTTTAAGGAGCCGTTGGCAACTCTACTAACCTTATGAATAAAATAAAGTTCACTATCAGTAACATCATAGCACCCACCCAGCTGTATAAAAACTCCGTCAAACTGGCTAGAACGCAGTATGAGTTATTGCAACTGACAGTAAAAAGTCAGCAACATGAAAATAAACTCCACCTAAACTTGGTTTATATCTGACCCAGATAGACTGCAGGTCATAACTTCTTACCTGAAGTTCAGTTCACCTGACACTCGGACTGGCGGCTGCTTCGGGTCTCTCCTCCTGCCTCCCCTTCCCTCGTCCACCTGTTGCCTCTGTGGAAGCCCCGCCATAGCCACCACCAAACAACGGAGTTATTTCTACACATCGACCTGCATCTGGCCAATCCACCACCTCTCATTGTTCATGCCATTACAAAAAAATAAAAAATAAGTCACTGGGATATGCCGGTATGCCCGATGGCCAGTCCAGCTATGTTAACCTGCAACCAAATCTGCAGCTCCATACAGCAATGTTACGACTTAGATTACATCTTATAACTCATAACTCTTATGTTAGCTGCCCTCAGTAGCATACTGTCTGAAATATTCCACAGCTGCAATAATTCTTTAAGTGTTATTTTTTTTCCTTGGTATTCTAATTTCACCGAAGTTTACTAAACTCAACAAACTTGATATTACTTACCGGGACATTTATTCTGTCCTCATTTTCTTTCACCGAAAAATTGTTTCCTGCAGTGCCATCTTTCGCGCTTGGCTCTCCTACCTTTGCTAACGTGATGCGCATAGCGCAGAAGCGATGCTGCATTCACTTACACTCGGATATCTGAGCGTCACCGTGAAAACATAATCGGACATTTGATATTTGATTGAATTTTATTGTTTTGCCTTTGGGGTGGCACCTGGGGTGGCCAGTCTGGTTTGGGGGGTGGCCTGTGCCCCCCCCAGGCCACCCCGCTGGACACGCCATTGGCGATGAAGAGAAGCGAGCTTCACCGGCTAAATGTATCTGCAGTTGCAATTAAACAGACAAGAAACAGCAACAAAACGACAGAATGAATCAAAGATGCAGATTAGCAGAGCAGCGTTTTGAAAAAAACAAAACAAAGCATGCTCTGTGTGCTGGAAATGAGAATCTTATCTTTTGAGGTTTTGCAGACACGTGATCGTCAAACGTGATATTAACTTGTCTTCTGGACATGTGAGAATCACAATAAAAAAGTAGAATGAAGTGCACAGTGCCCTAATCACACAAGCTTAGATGCTGGTCAGTGACCATCTGGCAACCACCTGTCGTTAGGGAAAAAATTGTGGTTGCTGGAGGTTGATGGCAGTTGCTGGGAAAATAATTGTTAATGCCCCAGTCACACAGGTCTACACACTGGTCAGTGACCCCCATTTATCCCTAGCAACACACCTGTCACTATAGGCACTTGTGGAAATCTACTAGGAACCAAAAAAAAAAAAAAAAAAAGGATTTTGGTGTAGCATCTTTTTTTATACCAATTTTACCCAGGGGGAACCAATGACATCCAGGATATATGCATTTTTCCCCCCTTGCAACCAATATGGCAGACAAATGTTGAGCAATATCACGCGAGAAAACTCAACAGGAATAATTTCAGGGGTGATGCATGCAAAGGGCTATTACAATCTTAGCCCAGATTTCAGGTACATTTATTATCACATTTTAACTCATATTCTTCTCCCGCTTTCTCCTATCAGCAAAAAACCAACCTTAAAGCCCCCCCGAAATATATTTTTCTGTCAGTGAAAGCAGCTTGTGCTCCCTGTCTGAGTGAAAAGGTAGCTGTAATAATGTCAGATCAGCAAAGAATGTAGCCCCTTTAGCTTCTCTGTTCAAACAGGCAGAGCTTGGGAATGAAACTGTAATTATGGAGGAAACTGAGTCGGTTTTATTACCACAGATCAGTGACACGGGCTGTGTCTGTGTGTGAGAATCACTGCAGTCTGGTACAGTGCATGCCAGGAACCAAAAGATGATGGTACAAAGAAAATGCGACAGACTTGCATATCTATGGCAACTACTGTGACAGCTACACTAGCTTAGCATATTGCTAAACATTCAGGTAGGCTCTATTATTAATTATATATTAATTTTTTTCATCCACTTTGAGGTGACTGAGCTTTAGGACCGTTACAGCACTGCACACTATTTTAAAACGTGTGATACTGTGTGGACTCACCCCAGCCGAGGCACAGAAACCGCTTGCGAATGAGTCGTGACCTCATTTTGCCAATGACTGCCAGGTAGGACTGCCACGCCTCAGTCAGCACCCAGCAGAAAGATGCCAAGAAGAAGAAATGCAGGAAGGCAGCAGTCACAGTACAGAGGCCCTAGTGAATAAAGAAAGTAATCGAGAGAGACAAGGGATTACAACACACGGAGAGGTGCTATTTAAACAAACAAACAAACAAAAAGTTCTTAAGAAGAGACGTCACGAATCATCTTTTAGGGTTTGGCAGGGGAATATGAAACCTCCGCAAAATAGAAAGTACAAAGTCAAAAATACTGAGTGGAAGAACACGAGTTCAACCTGGCACTGCTGTGTGGTTGATCGATGCTGACCACCACACAGTTCAGCCTTGCTTAGTCAGAAGACTTAGAATGCCTGCTTTGAGAACTCCACTGTATGAACTTTGTCTACTTCTGAACCCTGGTGGTTTTTGGCAGTTTTGTGTCTAGGCAATGGAGGCTTAGTCACAAGCACTATTATTGGAATCACAAGCACATGGACAAGAATTCCTGTGAAAATTCACGTGTAACTCAAAGAGCAGAAAGTCATTACCTTGCTAAGCGTTTGTGATTGTCCGACCAGAATTAATAAATTGGAGGCCAGGATGGAGAGGCAAAAATTCACCAAGATGATCGATCTCTCCGACCGGATATACCTAAAAGCAGAGTAACGAGAGACGGGAAAGAGGGAGAAATGACAGGCGTGTGCGGTAAGCATTAATGACAGACTGATGGACTGAACAGTGACTTTCTGGACATTGCAGAGACATTAGCTTGAGTTTGCCATCTGCTGCATGTAATCAAAATACAAACTAATCACCACCTCCCCCCCACCGTAGTTGAACCATTTGTTCCTTATTAGGCCTCATTGGAGTTTTTGGCAAAGCAAATGACAGACACAAAATAGACTTTGCTAGTGAGAAAATGACCACTGTGAGCACAGTTGATGTATGAATACTGACACTGCCATTACTCTATCAAATGTGTCTCTCAGTGTGTTTGTGAGCTCTCACCTCCAGAAGGCAGCATATATTAGCAGCAGGATGAGCAGAGCGGTGCAGGAGATGCCGCACCCCACCATAAGGGGCACAGAGGGCATGCTGGTAGGACCCATGTCCTAATAGCGGGAGGAAAGAACAGAAACAGGAGAGGGAGAGAGACGGATACTTCAGTGCAGTTGCAAGGCATTACAAGAGACATGTACCTGCATCAAAAGAAGCCTGAGTATTTTGCTCTTGTCAACAAAGCACATCTCAGTATATATCTGTTTGAACTTGAACGTGCTGGTCTTGCTATCGAGGTTTTGTTCCAGTTGCTAGGAAACATTCCCAAACTGACTGATTAATGATGATGGCGCTTATGCCACTGAAGCTGCATCAACTGTGACATCGACATTTGATAATGCTAACATGTCTATGAAAGCGAGCTCTGTGGCCATCATTAAACACCAGATAACGTAATTGTTGCTGCTTTTCTGCTTTAAATATCCACCAACGATATGATAATCAGGAGCCACTGAGGAAATAATTAACTGAAACAAAATTAAAAAATAAAGCTCACCTACAGCATCTTTTGCAGGACCAACTAATCCTTGCATTAAATTTACATCATCAGTTTAATGAGGCTTAGCGTTAGTTTAAGCAGGCTACAAAAAGCTGAGCCACTCTCCTTAAATATCACTTAATGCAGGGATGTCAAAGTAAACACTAAACTCCCTTTTCTATCAGTGCAAAGACATTTAATTAAACATTCAATAACTGGCATGTTTTATTACAAAAAAAAGACATGCAATTTCAACTGTGTCTCAATTTTCAACATTGATAAATGTGTAAAATTACAGAAACGCTTCTGTTAGCTCATTGTCCAGATTGTCCTGTAATTATAATAATGTTCTTTTTTCCCTATAGTAGAGATGGCACGATACCACTTTTTTATGTCCGATACCGATACCGATATCATAAATTTGGATATCTGCCGATACCGATATGAATCCGATATAGTGTTTTTTAATCAACAAAACTGTTTTTTAAATATCTTGCTGCATTTTGTATAAGTTCATACTCAAGTTTAAAACAACAACTACACTAAAGCTATTCTGTTATACCTGTATGCAAAAAAAAATATTTCATAGTTCAGCAATACTGATCAATCTAATAAATTTAAACCTACCACATCCTCCCTATTCTGGTATTTTAAAGAGTACTTAGCATAAATACTAAGCAACCTAACTAATAGGGTTCCAACTCCCAGCAACAACAAAAATAAATAAATAAAAAATAGGGAACCACCCCTCACGCTCCACCTCATGATGCTTAATCGACGTAATCAACCTTAATTTGATGCAGTGTGAAAAAAAATGCACAGAAATCAATTATTTTTCAAGAAATATTAAATAGATTCAACATCTTTTTTCAACAAAATTGCAGACTGCACAGATGGTACCTTCCCAAAGGAAAAAGTACTATAGCTTACTAGGGTATATATATTAGACTTAATAGTTACTATATACAGTAATTGACTTCTATTCATTTTACATCAAATTAAAACTTTGGGTGTCAGATAATTATTTATTAAAAGCTAGACATTTTAAATGAGAATAAGAAAGAAAAGTATGTCTTTGTGCCCCCTTTTCCCTGTTAATGCCCTATCGGCCCCCCTGGCTAAACTTTGCTAGATCCGCCCCTGCACAGTTACCAGCATCAGCTACATAGAAAAAGATCCTCAAGTAGAAAGTAATATTAAATAAATTCTAACAACAGCTGATCAAGCTTAAACGTGCTGCTGTTGTTCAGCCGCTGGTTTCCTCTTTCTGGTGCAAAGTGGGCCAAAAGCAAACTAGAGACACGGACTCACAACAGAAAAGCCGATCAGCTGATCGTTAAGCAGTTTCATGATTGAAGTAGCAGCAAGAAGAGGCAGTCGCTCCATATATCGTTTGTTAAGCTTAACGCAGGAATGCTTTACAAACATTCAGAGATGGACTTACACACTTGCTTTACTTCTCTCGGGATAACTTTGTCGGAGATGAAATGCCGGGTTGCTAGCGAAGCTCCACATGCTATCCAGACCACCGACAGGTCCCGCATGCCACAGCCGCTCTATCACGTGATGCATACTGCTCCGACGTGCTAACGTTCTGAGGTGAGTTACAGCGTGTTGCAAGTTTTGTGAGGTGCTTTCGTGATATTTAATGGATCGGATTACATTTTTTATTTTTCTCCGATATCCGATCCAGTAATTTAGGTCAGTATCGGACCGATACCGATACGTAATATCGGATCGGTCCATCTCTACCCTATAGTAGAAAAAAAATTCTATATCAGATATAATAGTTACTTGTTATTTAATAAGTTAGTTATCTGATTATCTATTACTTAACTATTTGTTGTAATATGAATGGTATGAATTAATCTTTATCAATAGGAATCTATATGCATTCCTTCACATTTCCCAAAGCCTTCCAGTGGGCCATATTGGAGTCTTTGTCAGGCCAATTCTGCCCCCCCCCGGCCTTATGTTGGACACCCCAACTGTATATGTATACTATCCCACAAGTGTTGATGACTCTGCTTTTTCCTTTCTACAAATCCACTCTCTCTGAGGCTTGTTGCTGTGTTTAAGCTGCTTTAGCCTGTCCACAGTTTCAGCACATCTGCAAGCTGCTTTACAACCCACCTCTGCCTCAGCTCTGCCTTTAAAGCTCTAACTTAATTAATCAACCTGTTGTTACCGATGCCTGCTCTGTATATTACGTATGCGAGTTAAAAGGTAGTGAGGTACCAGAACAGAGCTATTCCACCAAGTGCAAATGACTGCAGATTAAAATATGACTCTCCTTCATACCACTAGAACGAACTGTTTCTGTGATGACTGACCAATGCTGCCAAGACACAGAGCTAGCTTTGACAAACACTCACTTTACACTTGCTGTGTACCAATTATACACTCATTTGATGACTTCTTATGCGCGAGGGTAAAAGTACGAGACCACAGCGCATAATTAAGTGATTTAGGTCATGATGTACAGCGTACCTCTGCTCCTGAGGTGTGCCTTTGAAAGCATGAGGAACAGACAAATGAAGCCGCGTGGAAAGCATGCACCCCGCCGCGTCCCAAATGGGCTTGATGTTTGGCCCGCTTTTAAGTTCTCAATCACACAATTTACCTCAATTTACCCCCCCGCAGCGACTATCCTTCCCTTTCATCCCAGAGATTTATCACTGTACGTACCCGTGGCACAAGGTGTCTTTTACTGCAAATAAAGCACATACTTGAACACATAGGCACATCCAGGCAGATGGGCTAAGTAATTGAAGGTAAGTGTTTAAGCTGCGTGTGCCTGTGTGTGTATTCGACTTGATCTGAATAGACGGAAGCATAAGACGAAGACTTCTTTATTCCCATCAGAAAGGAGAGGAGAAACCAACATGAAAAGAACGAGTAAGAGAGAAATTTAGAGAGGGAGATGGAGTAGGAAGAGCTAAGGACAAGTAAGCAAAAGCAAAGAGTAGGAGGTGAGCGAAATAGATAGGGAGACTGAAAAAGCAAGAAAGTCAAAGCTTGTCTTTTAGTGGTTTTTCCCCTGGCCCATCAAAGGAAGCCAATTTCTCCAGAGGAAAGCGGAATAGGTTGGAATACCAATACGGCACACACACAAACACACTGGGAAGGGAATGGAGGTGAAACATAATCAAAACTGCCTCATAGCGAAGGCGAGATCTACGAAAAAAAAAAGACAAAGAGGGCATATGACAAGCATCTGTTCTAGGAAAAAGGGAAGGGCCTAGAAGGAGAGCGAGAGACAAGAGAGACTGACTGTGTTTGATACTACGAAGAATGGAAGGTCAAAGGATACACAGGCACTTGTGTTTTTTGAGGTCTGACAGATCAAACGCAGGGCGATGCATGGGGAATGACAAGCAGACAAGCGCATGCACGCACAGGCACAGGCACTTAAAAAAAGGCTGCAGGATCACCTTTTTTCCCTCTCAGTTTTTGAATCCGTCTTAAATTAGCCTCTGCTAGAAAACTAGTCAAATAAACGATTCTCTCATTTCTAAGTGTGCTCTATCTAAACCCCTCAAACTGTCCCTGAACTCGTCATCGTGTCAATTTGTCTAACAGAATTGTCTAAATTGGTGGCGGTTAGGTGTGTGATGAGATTAAGGGTTTATTTCATAATATGGAAGGATGCTACAATAAGGGGAAATGAAAAGAGGAAACGCCCACACAAACAGACACGCTCAAAAACACTAAACGTAACACATCGGGCCCGAGGCTACTGGCTCACACAGATGCCCTGCCCCAGATAGATATAGTGATATTTTGATGCAGTCGGAGGAGAGAATAAAACGGAGTGCAGATTAGAAAGAGCGAGTGCGCTGAGGCTCTGCTGTATATGGCCAGGCTCCCCTGGGCAGATTGGCTACCATGTGATGGAGAAGATAGCTATTTTGAGCTCAGGAAGTTTAACCTACTTATCTCCTCTCACTCCTCCTCCCCACCCCCTCCTACCTATCCTGCTACCACCCACTCCCTCACTTCATCTCCCTCTCTTTGGCTCTCATTCTTCCCCTATTTTTTTTCCTCCCCCCTACATTCAGACCTGCTCCTCACTAGTGGCTTTCCATGTCCACCTGCACCAAAAGGCCCGTTTTCCATTAACTGCTCTTACAACTTTCCCACTGGAAGAAAAATGTGAATATTGAACTTAGCTGGCAAAAGTAGTCTTCCTATGACTGATTAGACAACTTCTGTTTAATATGTATCCTTATGTTAAGTTATCACTGTACAAATACTGCAGCTGGTTGGTGATGTGCTTAAAGTGCACAAAATTAATAACTATATGAACAATAAAGGGCACCACCAAACGGGAGAATTTATCCAGTATTTATTACAAAATCTTCACTTATCTGTATGTGTGTTTCTAGTGCTGAATTCCAAAGTAGCATGATCATATTAAGCTTTTCAGTACTGCAGTAAACACAGTGATTATGTTACAGTTTTCAGATACAATCTAGACGCTGGGCAGATGGAAAGAAAAAGAACATCTTTGCAAGCACCTGCTAGAGCTGAGCAGACTGATCTGAATAATGATAGCATTGATACCACCACTGA